CTGAGCCCCGCCCAGCCTTCCCAGGCCCTTCTCCCTGGGCTGGGCCGAGTGCAGGCCAGCTCCCCTTCCTCCGCCCGGCCCCCCAGGAGGGGTCTTCGTGCCTGCGGCCCCCGTGAGGACTGGGGGCCTCCTGGGGACCGGGCCAGGCTGGGCGAGTCACGTGCACGGCCTCCTGTCCGGGGTCTCTGGGTGCTCCTAGTCTGGGAGGGAGGTGGTGCCCAGGGCAGGTCTCTGGGCTGTGTGGCCGTGGGCACGGAGACGGCGCCAGCTCACCCGGGGGACACGCTGGGCCTGTGTGTGTTGTGTGGGTGTGCTGTGTGTCTGTTGGGTGTCTGTGGTTGTGTGGTGTGTTTATATGTGTATACTGTGTTGTCTGTGGTGTGTTATGTTGCTTGTGTGTGTCTGTGTCTCTTGTGTGTCTGTGTTTGGTGTCTGTGTGTGGTATGCACTGTATGTCTGTGTGTGTGAGGTGTGTGTCTGTGTGTGGTGTGTGTGGTGTGTGCTGTGTATCTGTGTGTGAGGTGTGTGTATTGTGTGTCAGTGTGTTGTATGTCTGTGTGTGGTGTGTGTTGTGTGTCTGTATGTGAGGTGTGTGTCTGTGTGTGATGTGTGTATGTTGTGTGTCTGTGTGTGTGTCTGTATGTGTCATGTGTGTTTGTACCTGAGGCGTGTGTCTGTGTGAGGTGTGTGTCTGTGTGTCTGTGTGTGTTGTCTGTATGTGAGGTGTGTGTCTGTGTGTGTTGTCTGTGTGTGAGGTGTGTGTCTGTGTGAGGTGTGTCTGTGTGTGTTGTCTGTGTGTGAGGTGTGTGTCTGTGTGAGGTGTGTCTGTGTGTGTTGTCTGTTTGTGTGTGAGGTGTGTGTCTGTGTGAGGTGTGTGTCTGTGTGTGTTGTCTGTCTGTGTGTGGTGTGTGTCTGTGTGAGGTGTGTGTCTGTGTGTGTTGTCTGTCTGTGTGAGGTGTGTGTGTGTGTGAGGTGTGTGTCTGTGTGTGTTGTCTGTCTGTGTGAGGTGTGTGCCTGTGTGTGGTGTGTGGTGTGTGTCTGTGTGTGTGCTGTGTGTCCGTGCATATGGCAGTTGGCCGAGGGGACACGTGTGTCTCTCAGCCTCAGGGCAGGCTGTCTGCAGGTCACGTCCCGATGGGCCCCACGTCCCGACAGACCCGGGCCTGGCTCAGCCTCGGGCCGGCCTCCTGCGGCCTCCCGGCCCCCTGGCCCTCAGCGCCCCCGGCCCGCTCCTTGGAGACTCTCGGGCCCCTCGTCCCAGGGCTGGGCCGGCGGCCAGCAGGTGCCATGGCGACGTGCAGGGCCCTGTCCACCGTTGCGGCTGCGCCTCCTTTGTGGTCTCTGCCCGGGGCCCCGGGGTGTGGGCGTGGTGGACCGAGGGCCGCAGCCTGCTCGGGCTTGCTCGGGCCGGCGGTCCTGGGGCTGCGGCGGGGACAGTAAACAGCGCAGCTGTTTGGAGCAGAGCCAGGCCGGCTTCCAGGAGACAGCGCCAGCTACAGCGGGCTGCAGGGGCGGTGGGGGGTGGGGCCGGTAACCCCCGGCCAGGGACAGCCCCTGGTGGCAGCGAGGGACGGAACCAGCTGCTCGGGCGCAGCACCGCTTTCTGGCCTGGCTGTGGGGGGGTGGGCACGGCAGGGGGCCTGGGCTGGGCCGAGTGAGGACAGAGCGTCCGGCTCTCCCTTCTCAGCCAGTGCCCGGCCTGGGGGGCAGGCGCTGAGTACCAGGTGTCTTCTGACACTCATGAGAGCCCCACCGAATAAAGCTGCTGTTGTGCCCACTTTGCTGATGAGCAGACTGAATGCCCTGCCCGAGGTCACCAGTGGGTACCTGGCGAGTCTGGAGTCAGGACCCCACCACCGCACCCACCAGGAGCTGGGCAAGGGGACCCGGGGCCGATGGGCTTGCTCTTTGCAGCAGCCGCTCCCAGCTGAGAACCCCATCCCTCGTGAGCCCACCCAGCTCTGATCAGACTCAGCGTGGCCCTGGGGACCCGCAGGTGCTGTCTCTTCCAGCTCCGGGGGAGCGGCCGGTCGTAGAGACTCCTGCCCGGCTTCCAGTCCTGCCGGGGCCAGGACATGAGACTGCTGCTGAGTCTCTCTGAGCCACCAGAGCGGGGCTCCTCCCACGGACCCTCGCGGGACAGCTGAAATGGGACCCCCACACCTCCACACGGGGCCCGGCCGAGCTGGGGGCTCCAGCAGCCATGAGCATCTGCATTCAGGCCACCCCTGCCCCCTAGTCGTCCCTGACCCGGGGGAGGGGAAGCAGACAGACAGGGGGCCCCCACTCCCAGGGAGGGGAGGGGATCTTCTCAGAGAGTGCATCAGGCCGGCAGGAGCCGGGGAGGGGTCAGCGCGGAGGGGCTCAGCTGAGATGCTGCGGGGCACGCCTGGGGGGGAGGCCAGCTTTCCGCCCCCCACCACCACCTCTGCCCAGCGGCCTTCTTGGAGCCGCACAGAACGCGACCCCACGGGGGGCCGACACCACCACTCACGGCCATCCAGCTGCAGCCCAGCACGGAGCCTGCTGGCTGCCCCCATGGGGACGAGCGATGTGGCGTGCGGGGGTGACCAGAGCGGGCGGCCCTGGGCAGGGAGTGGCCTGTCTCCCCCAGTGAGCAGCTGCGTCTGGAAGGGGCGCTGCAGCTGGGTGGGCAGGAGGAGAGGGAACCTGCTCAGGGCTTGTCACAGGTCACAGGGCGACAGAGGCCATTGGGTTTGATTCCCAGTTCACCCCACATTTGTGGCTAGGATTGTGCTTTTATCGCCAGTAGCCCTGGTGGCTCGAGAGGTAAAGAATCTGCCTGCAAAGCAGAAGATGCAAGAGGTTCGGTCCCTGGGTCGAGAGGATTTCCCCAGGGGAAGGAAATGGCAACCCATTCCAGTGTTCCCGCCTGGAGAATCCCAGGGACGGAGGAGCCTGGTGCACTACAGTTTGTGGGGTCGCACAGAGCTGGACACGACTGAGCACGCACGCATGTAGTACACACACGGAGGGTTTGAAGTGCTTGCCCCGCCATGTTTATGACCCAGCTTTTTCCTGGAGAAGTCAGTCTCCGCTGACCACTGGGGGCAGCTTAGTCCCTGCTGGTGGGAACAAGGCGTCAACAGGCTCATCTGTTAGGAGAAACTTATCGTGTTGGGGCTCCTGCCACTTCCCCTCAGGATGACCCTTTCTCTCTGTCCTCCAGAGGGGCTGGGAGCCCGGAGCACACTGGGAGGACGCCCCCTGCCTCAAGGACCCCAATTGATGGGGAAGACTGAGTGCCTGGTGAAGGGAAGTCGTTCAGCTATGGGGTCAGTCCTCTGCTCGGGTGGGTGATCCTGCAGCCAGAGCAAAGGGGGCCAGGAAGGGCTTTCATTCTCACCAAGGTCGCAGGGGGATTTGCCGGGGGGAGGGGGCTCTTTGGGAATGAAGGAGGTGGAGCTGTCTGGGGGTCCTCTCAGCTGTCCAGGCTTTAGGGGCTCTGTGGGGGACACCATGGTCATTCCTAATGATGTCCCCCCGCCACCCGAACTTGCGGCCATGTCCTAAGACCTGCCGCCCCTCCTGCGTGCTGGGCACCGTGCCACAACCCACCGCGGCCTGCCGCTCTCCTGGAAGGGCCTGCTGTCCTGTGCAGACCTGGGTCAGGGTCCCGGGGCCCCAGCCACTTGCAAACATCCTGAATCTATTTCAGCTTCACCAGGCGAAGTCCCCAGTGGAGCGGGCCAGCCTGGGCAGGGTGGGACTCTGGGCCAGGGGCACGGGCCAGAGCTGACTCCACGGGGCTCCTGGCTGGGGAACCTGACTGCAGAGGGATGCCATCTTTTTGGGCCACCAGTGTGCTTTGAGGGCCCCAGGACTGGAGGCTGGATCTGGGGTCCGGGCGGCTCTGTACCTGCCCCAACCCGGTGCAATGGCAGGGGAGGTTGAGTCGGGGCGGAGCCGGGGCACCAGGCAGGGTCCGTCCCGGGCCACTCCCGCTCAACTGGCAGTGCAACCTGCAGCTGTGTCCTGGTGACCAGAGCCCCGCCCCGCGGCCTGCCCAGACAGCAGCGTCTCCAGGTGTCCCTGGTTCTCCAGGGCGGGTCCTTTAGAAGGAACCTCTAGGACAGCTCTCCATTCTCCATGCCTGCCTGGAATTAGGGGGCCTGGGGGTCTCTGGATGCAGACCCCCCACTTTCTTAGGGACCATTCTGGAAGGAGTGCCTGCGGAGCTATCGCTAACACTGGTAAATGCCGCAGCCCCTAAACCATTCCCAGACGGACCGCTGGTGAGTGCCGGCCGCTCAGCAGGGCCCTGCTGTGGGGTGAACTCGCCAGAGCTCACAATACCCAGGGGCAGGGGTGGGGTCTCTGGTCGCCCGAGGTTACCCTGCCGGCTAGGGCGGAGCTGGATTTGAACCAGCTCTCCTCCTGGGGGACCATGCCGAGCCCAGGGCCAGCAGACCACAGAGCCCGTGTCCTTCCCGCCGTGCCGCCCCGCCAGACTCGTTGAGCAGGTGACGGGAAGCCCGCTGGAGATGGCCAGGTGGGGACGCTCAGGCCTCCGCAGCGACCATTTCTATGGTCAAAGGGGTGCGCTGAGCCTGTGCCAGAGAGTGGGATACCAGGCCCGCTTCCCTGGACCAGTTCCCAGAAGCCAAAGCATCAGGGCCGGGGCTCTTAGCCCCTCGCCCAGCTGCTGGCGACGTGCCCCTGGCTGGCTCCTCTCCTGTGCCTGGACCCTTAGGCTGACCGCAACCCGGAGCTGACCCTTCAGCCCAACACCTGCGTGCAGCAGAGCCCACGCCTGCCCCTGCCCGCCCCTGGCCCCAGCCCCTCACGTCATCCCTGCTCTGGCCCAGGCCGAGCCTGACCCCAGCCCAGGCCAGCTCACCACGTACTGCAGCCGCTGGCCCTGGCACCCTAGGAGGACTGGGGTGGGCGTGCTGCCTGGGGTCCCAGCAGGAGATGCAGGCCTGGCTCTCTGTTGCTGCGTGACACGGGGTTATTATGCTGTCATGAGGTTGCCTGGAATTCTCACCCTCCACTGAGGGTCAGTGCATTGGGAACCCCCTCCGCCCCAGGCTTTCGCCAGTCCAGGGCCTGGGAGCCCACTGTGCCCACCCTGTTTCCATGACCGTGCTGAGAGTTTCCAGCATGGGCCAGGGGCCCGGGACAGGCCAGCACCAGGAGCCAGGCAGCGGCCAGCTCACCTTAAGCTGGGGAGGATGCTGGGCGGCCGAGCATGGGGCTGTGGACCCGGGGCTGCCCCGTGAAAGCACCATCTGGCCCCAGGGCAGGCGGTGACGGAGGCTCAGCAGCTCTGCCTTCACTCCCGGCCCTGCTGCCATGTCCGCCTCAGTCATGGTGATGCTTCCCGCCTGCCAGGGGGACATGATCCAGCCCCACCCTAAAGAGAGCCAGAGGCAGTGCCCCGTCTCCCTCGGGGCCCCGGGGGGACCGGCGTTCCGGAGGGCCAGCACCAAGTCCGGCCGTGTTTGTGCCGACTTAGGTGCGCGTGCTAGCTCGTGGATGTTGTGGTGCCGTCAGGGAGGTGGCCACGCCTTCCCCGGAGGGCAGCCGAGGTGGTGTGGGGAGCGAGGTCATGGGCCAGGGTGCTTCTGTGTGCCTTCTCCCTGAGTCTGTAAATTGGGCTAATGGTGGTGCCCACCTGAAAGGAGTGTGGTTGGGATCCAAGAGGGAGTGTCACTGCCCTGCCACCCGCAGAGGGGGCTGCATTTTACTGTCCCCTCATCCCTCTCTCCAGAGATTGAGCCCCTAGTGTCTGCCTGCAATGCGGGAGAGCTGGGTCCGATTCCAGGGTTGGGAAGAGCTCCTGGAGAAGGCAGTGGCACCCCACTCCAGTACTCTTGCCTGGAAAAATCCCATGGATGGAGGAGCCTGGTGGGCTACAGTCCATGGGGTCGCAGACAGTTGGACATGACTGAGTGACTTCACATTCACCTTTCATCCCTTTCTTGGTCTGAGACAGGAAAACACCGAGTGGGAGGGTGCTGGGGGTGTGTGCGGGGGGTGCATGTGAGACATTTTGCTCAGCACCACCGTGTCTCTGCACCTGACAGGTTGTGTCTGCCTCTCTCCCCCAAGGGAAGGCAGGCTCTGTCCACTGGTGGCCGAAGATGATGCCATGGCGGCCGTGAGGTGGCCCGAGTGCCCCCGGGAGGCAGGCGCCCTGCGGGGATCTCCCCCCACAGCCTGGTCTGACTACACTGAGGAGCCTGGCCAACGGAGGCAGGCCTGCAGCGTCCCCATGTGGTTGACCGACGAGGAGGCCAAGGATGGGGACAGCTCTGTGTCGTCGGGCCGCCTCTCCGGCTCCTCGGGGGGCCACGACTCGTGCACCCCGCCCCACAGGACTTGGACCGAGAGGGCCCCCCAGGTGCCGAGGCCCCTGCGGCAGCCGAGAGAGAGCAACCCCCGACTGGAGCAGCTGAGGGACAAGATCCGGGCCCAGGCCCAGCGGCAGGCGAGCTGTGCTTCGCTGGGCACCTCGACACCCTCCAGCGCCTCACACCTCAACAAGGCCCCCACGCCAGCGCCCCGGAGGAAGGCCCGAAAGCCACCAAACCCCGCTCCAGCCCCAGCCTACCCAGGTCAGTGGGGCAGCTCTCCCCGGAGAGGGACAGGCAGGGAGAAGGGAGAGAGCGAGGAGGTTGGGCTGCTGCAAGCCAGGCCGTGCGGGGCACTGGGCGGCCCCGCCTGGACTGGTGACCCCTGGGAGGCTGGGGCAGTGTGCCCCGCAGCCCTAGAGGGTCTCGGAGCCTGGGAAGCTGAGTGGAGACAGAGCCCTCCCGGGGCTGCATTCGAGCTGGGTTTAAGCACGAAGAAGCGTTGACTCATCCAGGAGATGGAGACCGCCTGGTGGAAACAAGAGGAGGGTGGGTGCAAGGGCAGGTACAGGGAGGCTGGAGCGTGTGCGAGGCGCGTGGATGGGAGGAAGGCCTCCAGGAGCCCTCCGAGGGGAGACTGCACCCTCAAACCAGGGGGACCTTCCCTTGGACATTGCTTCACGGGCTCACAGTCCTCATGATGCCCCTTCTCGTGGCTCAAGCATCCTGTCTGTGCTGGGCTTCGTCGCTCAGTCGTGTCCGACTCTGCAGCCCCACAGACTGCAGCCCGCCAGGCTCCTCTGTCCATGGGGATTCTCCAGGCAAGAGTACTGGAGTGATTTGCCATGCCCTCCTCCAGAGGATCTTTCCAACCCAGGGACGGAACCCAGTCTCTCGCATTGCAGGCGGATTCTTGACCAGCTGAGCCACCAGGGAAGCCAAGGCCTGGGACAGGGACTGTATGGTCCACGGGGTCGCAAAGAGTCGGACACAGATGAGCGACTCTCACTTTTCCTTTCACTTCAGGCATCCTGAGTGGGACTGAAAGTGGAGTCGAAGAGAAGGCGACCCCCGGCCAGGGGCGTGAGACCTCCCGGGTCTCCCAGCACCAGGCCTCAGGTGAGTGGCCCTGTGGGCAGCCATCTCAGCGCCCCCGCCCCCCTGGACCCTCAGCCCAGGTGTGAGCAGCATATGGTTCTGGAGCCGGCAGTCTCCAGGCAGCCTCTCTCTCACTCTGTGGGATTGGCTCTGTTACCTCACCACTCACCGAGGACGATACTGAGGGTCAGAGAGGACCCCAGCTGTGAAGGGGCCAAGCAGGGATTTGCTCTCAGCCTGCCATTCTCTGGAGCCCGCTTTCCAGTCACCAGGGGAGGAACCCAGACGGGTTCTGCAGGGCAGGCTGGAGCTCAAAGCACAGGGGCCTGGGCAGGCAGGGACAGCCGTCGCTGAGCTTCTCTGCACTGCATGCTCACAGGCTGGCCACAGTCTGGGCTTGAGGCTGTTCAGCTCTCATCAGTTCCTGGGCTTGCTGGTCCATTCTACAGTCAGGAGGCATTGCTGACCTGACCCACAGATGACCTTGCCCAGCCTGGGAGAAGCTGAAGTGTCGACAGTGGGTTGGCAGACCTCCAGACGGGGGAGAAAGGGTCCCGGGGCCCGGGGAACCAGTAGACTCTGGCTCACTCAGCAGGAAGGAGGGGTGAGTCTGAGTTGGGGGAGGGCAGACTGGAGCTGCTCCCAGGGCTAAGGAACCTTGGCATCGCCACCTGTAGGACAGTTGGAAGGTTCTGGGCAGGGAGACCTCGGCAGGTCTGGGCATTGACTGCTTGGTCAGTTTGTGGGGTGGGCGCCGGGTGCAGGGGCCGTCGCTATGGTCCAGCAAGATTCTGGAGACCCCAGAAAGGGGCAGGGAGAGGCCTCCAGAGCTGAGGTCAGGCTGCCCTGGAGGCCCGAGGCTTTGGGGGTCTCTGGCCAGGGTTTTCAAGAGTCAGGCCCTCAGGGGTCCGTCACCTATCCTAGTGGCGCTGTGATGAGTAGGGTGGGATGAGGGTTGGTCGACACTTGAGTCTACATCCTCTGGCTGGCAGCCACAGACTGGCTTCCGGTCTGCCCAGCCAGAGGTGCGAGCGCAGTGCAGCCCCAGGCAGAGTGAGGGGCGCCGGCCGCGTGAAGCCAGGAGGCAGGTCCTCTCTCTGACCCAGCTCTGGCCTGATCGTGGGCCCTGGCAGCTCCCCAGAAGCGGCGGTGGCTCTCGTGCACTCCCTGGCCTCTCCCCTTGGGGACAGAGGACCTCGATGGCCTGGGCTCGTCCAGCAGGTCATTGTCCCCGTCCCCCAACACGGAGGCCGCTGGGGCCTATCGGCTGAAATCATGACCCGGCCACTGGTGTCTCAGGGAGCTCAGTGCCCCGTGGCGTCGGTCACCAGCTCCTCCTCGTTTTAGAATCCTCTGGAAGCAGGGCATGGGTCAGGGCCTGGGTCTTTTTTTTTTTTTTAGTTGTGGCAAAATACACATAAAGTTTAGAGATGCAGGTTTGATCACTGGATTGGGACGATCCCTCTGGAAGTAGGAAATGGCAACCCACTCCAGTACTCTTGCCTGGGAAATCCCATGGACAGAGGAGCCTGGCGGGCTACAGTCCATGGAGTCTTAGAGTCGGACACGACTGTACACTCGCACATACACACCACACACACAGAGTTTACCATTTTTACTGTGTTTATGTACAAAGTTACTTCGTTTCCAGGGGGTTGACCCCTCTAGGGACTTCATATGAGTGAAATCCTACAGGGTTTGTCCTTTTTGTGTGAAGCTGGGGCTTGAGGCCGCTCCTGCCGGGGTGGGAGTGGGGTGGGTGGTGGAGTGCCAAGGCCGGAACCCTGCTGCTCTGCATAGGCCTGGGAGTCCCTGGGGCCTGACTCTTCTCTTTGCATGCTCCCCTGGTCTCCTGGGGACACGCTGGGCGGGGCCCAGCTCTCACAGCTCACCAGCTGGGTGGGCGTTTGGTGTTTCCCAGATGCAGCCCCCACCCAGCAGGCGACAGAGACGAATGAGGTCAAACAGAGGGGGGCCAGGCCAAACACTGGCCTTTGGGCAGTCGGCCCCTGTGCCTGCTGCAGGTCCCCGCCCATCCAGTTGGGGCAGCCCCGCCGTGTCAAGGCCCCTCTGGGTCTGGTGCACACTGCTTTCCCTGAACATTCAGGAAACTAAGATCATGGCTTCCAATCCCATCACTTCATGGCAAATAGATGGGGGAACAGTGGAAGCAGTGACAGACTTTATTTTTTTGGGCTCCAAAATCATTGCAGATGGTGATTGCAGTCATGAAATTAAAAGACACTTGCTCCTTGGAAGGTTTGTCTGTGACAAACCTAGACAATATATTAAAAAGCAGAGACATTACTTTGCCAACGAAGGTCCACATAGTCAAAGCTACGGTTTTTCCAGTGGTCATGCACGGATGTGAGAGTTGGCCCTTAAAGAAGGCTGAGCACTGAAGAATTGATGCTTTTGAATCGTGTTGCTGGAAAAGACTCTCGAGAGTCTCTTGGACTGTGAGGAGATCAAACCAATCAATCCTAAAGGGACTCGACCTTGAAGATTCCCTGGAAGGACTGATGCTGAAGCTGAAGCTCCAATATTTCGGAGCTTTCTCTAGTAGCAGTGAGCAGGGGCTACTCTTGGCCCAACACTCTGGCCACCTGATGCAAGAGCCGACTCAGTGGAAAAGACCCTGATGCTGAGGGCAGGAGGAGAAGGGGGCAACAGAGGTTGAGATGATTAGATAGCATCACAGACTCAATGGACATGAATTTGAGCACACTCCGGGGGAGAGTGGAGGACAGAGGAGCCTGGCGTGCTGCAGTCCATGGGGTCACAAAGAGTCGGACACGACTGAGCAGCTGAACAACAAGAACCTCTCCCTGATGAGCCGATGTCCCATCTGGCTAGCTGCCTGCCACAGCTTTGCTTGTGGGCCCATCCAGTCATTTATTCATTCAACAAACACAAGTGCTGTGGGCCAGCTCGATCCGGGTGCTGTGCTCAGGGGCTCTGGGGACTGGTGCATGGGCAAGGCTATGAGGGAGGGTGAGGCGAGCCCAGCCTTGCAAGGGATTTCCCCGGGGGGACAGGGGGGCGGCTTGCGGGGACAGTCAGGGGCTGGAGAGCAGGCTGACCTGTGTGCTGCGTTGCTACTCAACCTTCTCTCCCTTGCTTCCCTCTTCTCCTCTCGCTGAAGTTGCACAGGATAAAACCAAAAGGATGAAAAGTAGTTCTTGCAAAACAGAGAAGGCCCCCAAGCCGCCTGCCCCTAGGAGAGCTGCCAAAGACACAGGTAGGGTTGGCCCAGGCGGGGCCCAGCAGGGCTTGGGGACAGGACGTTTATGGTTCAGGCTCAGGAGGCGGGCACGTGGCTTATTTCTGAAGCCCGGACAGCATGTGCTGCACCGTCTGCGCCTTGGAAAGGCGGGCGTGAAGCGGGGGGCTCGGGAGGTCCTGGTTGATGGACGTGCTTGCTTTCTCGTGACTCGGTGTCACCGGATAAGCCATGGCCGTTTGGCTGCCATCAGCGGCAGGAAGCGTGACTGAGGGATGAGCCTCCCTGTCGCCTGGTTTGGAATGTGGACGCCAGGCAGCGAGCCCGGGAGGCCGGCTTCCCCTGGGGCGCCTGTTGGGAGGAAAGGCCGGGCGGTGCCTACTTCCCACGACCCCTCGGGGAGGACGCATCCACTTCCTGAGAGTTCTGTGCAGGGGTCTTGGTGGTGCTGGGCTGCTGGTTCGCAGAGAAATTCCTAACTCGGGGGTCTCTCCCCTGAGGGTGGGTCACATGGTTGTGTCCAGTGAAGACCCAGCCGCCCAGCCTGGCTGGTTCATGCAGCTTGTGGGGTGAATGAGCTGGATGTGGGTTGTGGGGAGCAGAGCGGGCAGCCTTCCTCTGGGCCTCCCTTCAGAACAGCCTGGGCGGGATGGGGTGACACGCTCAGGGCTGGGTTCCCTCTGCCCGTGTGTGCCAAGCACGCAGGCAGCAGCGGCTCACGTAACTCCTCACAGCTCTCCTCGGAGGCAGACGGGCTCGCTCTCATTTTGTAGATGAGGAAACTGAGGCTCAGAGAGGTTCACCAACCTGCCCAGGGTCACACAGGCCAGCCAGGGTTGGCTCCGGCCCTGTGCTCCCCGCCCAAAAGAGCCCAGCTGTGCACACTTGGACCCGCGCCTGGAGGCCTTCTCGAGGCCCACCCTCAGGGCCTGGACTCTGGGACCACTGCACCACAGACTTTGGGGACACCAATGAGAGCCCCCCCAGGTGGGGAGAGCCCTGGGGGGCCGAGGTCGGCTCTGTGGGGACCCCTGGTCTTGCTGGGAGTAAGCAACACTGATGTTGGAGCTGTTTTTCAGCATCTCTGTGCCTCAGTTTCCCCCGGGCACGATATTGCAGTCCTGGACGGGAATGCCAGTGTGAGGTCTGCCCATGTCTTCAGATACCTGCCTCCTCTGCCCTTGGGCAAACCCACCATTCCAGCGGGCTGAGTGACTGTCCTCCTCCTCTGTGCCTCAATGGAGGTGGGCCCAGAGCAATGTGGGGGCACGTTGGCAAAACCTCCACTGGAGAGTGAGGGATGCCAGGAGATAGAGAGAAAGTTCCAGAAGGCCCCTGAAAAAGCACAAAATATAACAATTTTCTGCATCATGTTTCCCCCTGCTTCTGGACCTTGGGGTTTGTTTTATTTTAATGGCTCCTTTGAAAAATGACCTGCCTTGTGCCTGACACTGGGTCAGAAGGGCGTGCCACGGGCTGCATTCATCACCGTAACCGCCGTGTCACCCTGATGCAGCTGACCATTAGTTTCTGTCAGTGATGAAGTCACAGCTGGGCTAAGAAGAGATGAGTTTGGGTTCAGAGGTCAGAGCCACAGGACTTGGGAATTGGATGAATTAGAAATTTGCTGTAGTTAACAAAAAATTAAATCACAATAGTTATAAAATATTCATCCATCCGGGCTGAGGGAAAATGAAGCCCGATATTTAATTTTAGATTATAGCACCTCACTTTGCATTTTTTATCATAGATTAGGTTGGCCCTGGAACTTTGACAGGCACTTGGGGACTTCATCCATTTCCACAGATTAAAAATCCTCTCGTAAAAAAATTAATTGCCATTAAACTGCTCTGCAGAAGGAAAAACGTGCCCACCAGGGCCCATTTATTGACCTGGACCCCTCTGGCTGGCTAATGGGGAAGCTAGTGATGTCGGGGGCTGTGGGTGGGGGTGCTCAGAGGGGCCTGCAGGCCCCTCCTCACCCAGTGTGGCCCCTGCTCAGTGCCCCATCCAGAGAGTGTGGCCTTTTTTTGTGCAGTGCAGCAGCTCTGGGATCCAGGATGCAGGACCCTTCCTGGGGAGCCCACCCCCCAGGTCTCCCTCATAGGTCAAACGTGGCAGGCAGGTGGGTAGTCCCAGACTCAGCCCTGGTCAGCAGAAGCCTGACCTTTCTGGGAAACTCCTGCAGTGGGGGTGACTGCTTCACTTTTTCATCCTTGTGGAGAGATGCGTACAGATGGGGAAATTGAGGCACAGGGAAGTGGTCACTTGCTCAAGGCCTGTGGCTGGAGAATGGAGGAGCGGGGATTTAAACCCATGTCTTGTGACTCAGCTGGTAAAGAATCTGCCTTCAATGCAGGAGATCTGGGTTCAATCCCTGGGTCAGGAAGATCCCCTGGAGAATAGATAGGCTACCCACTCCAGTATTCTTGCCTGGAGAAGTCCATGCAAGTCCATGGGTTCACAAAGAGTTGGACATGACTGAGTGACTTTCACTTCTTCACTGGTTGGACGGGGGCTTCCCAGGTGGTGATGTTGGTGAAGAACCCACCTGCCAATGCAGGTGGTCCCAATCCCTGGTTGGGAAGATCCCCTGGAGAAGGGAATGACTTCCCACTCCAGGATTCTGGCCTGGAGAATCCCATGGACAGAGGAGCCTAGCGGGCTACAGTCCATGGAGTCGCTGAGAATCGGACAGGACTGAGACTAAGACTTTCACTTTTCTGGGACTCTGGACACCGCGCTCTCCTCCTCCGCTACCCCAGGAGCCTGGGGCGGAGGGCGTGGTCGCAGAGGGGGCGTGTCCTGGAGCCCTCTTCCAGGGGCGAGGCTTTCAGAGGGCGTGGTCACGGCCTCTCTCCTTCCTGGGGCTTGGCCTCTGGAAGGCGTGGCCTCTGGGGCGTGGCTTTGCGTCGCCCTTCCCTTTCATGGAGCTCCATCCTCGGGCCAGTGCCCCAAGTCTCACTCTGGGCTGGGGAGGGCGCCGAGTCTAGGGAACAGGGTGTGCTAGGTGGGTGATCCCTGCTGTGAGGCGCCGTCTTTGGGCAGAAATGCCCCCAGGACAAGTCTTGGTCTGGGTAGTCTTGTTTTCCTGGGGCGCTGCCTGGGCTGGCTCCCTGCCGCGCGCGCGCGCGCGCGCGTGTGTGTGTGTGTGTGTGTGTGTGTGTGCGCGCGCGCTCAAGGTCGGCCACTGCTTCCTGCCTCTGCCTCTGCCAGGGCCCTTGCGGTTGGGTTTGTAATGATGGTGGGGCTGCTTTTGGTGCATTTTGTGAGGGCGATTTGGGGTTGTGAAGTAAAACCTTGATAAATGATGTTTATGACGGATAGCATTTATTAAAGAAAGTGTTTATGTTTGGGATGTGGTGGCTGTTTGTTTCCACACACTGTCCGGACCCCTCATCCTGCCACCCTGGGTGGCTTTGCTGCCGCCAAAATCTTAGCTTTCTCCGCCCAACAAAGCCAAATAAAAACAGACGGAGCCAGTTTGTTTGGAGGAAATGGAAGGGTGGCTTTAATCCTCAGTGGGAGGAGGCAGAGAACACAGTTGGTCCGTGCTTCGAGAACTGTGCCCCACTTCCATGAGGAATCTGGGGATCGTGTAGAGGAGGGCTCACAGTCAGGTGTTGGTGCTAAAGAACAGAGACGTGAGGAGCCTGTATTCTTCTTCTTGTTCCTCTTGCATTGTTTCAAACACAGTCACAGGCTGGCATCAGGTAGTCCAGGAGCTGGGTCCTTTGTTTTTTGTGTGTTGTACTGTGACCTCCTTCCTGTAATGCAAAAAGAGACCTCCAAGAGGTGGTCTGCAAAAGCGTGCTGAAAGGTGAGCACCACAAACAGGAGGTGATCAGCACAGAGTTAAAGGATAGCAGGGCTTCCCTGGGCTCAGACAGTAAAGAATCTGCCTGCCGCCCAAGGGACCTGGGTTCTATCCCTGGGTCAGGAAGACCCCCTGGAGAAGGGGATGGAAACTCCCTCCAGTATTTTTGCCTGGGGAATCCCGTGGACAGAGGAGCCTGGTGGGCTATAGTGCATGGGGTCACAGAGTCGGACACGACTGAGTGATGGACACTAAAGGATAGTAGGTTCAGAACGAGCTCCTGCAGAGTTAGAGGGCAGAAAAGCAAACTTAGTTACAGACTACAGACTAGGAACAGTTAAGAACTAGGAGTGATCATGCCTGCTCACTATTCTCTTTATCTTCTTTGTTCTCAGGAAAGAAAAGAGAAATTCAGCCTTCTATTTCCCCTTTTCTCTGCAACAGCTTCCTTGATTCCTACCCTTATCCCCGCTCTCACCAGTTTAAAAACGAATTAGTTTCCTCTGGTTCAGGGCAAGTGATTATCGACAGTGTCACCCCCCGCCCCCGAGCTCTGTGTGTGCTAGTGATTGTCTTTGCTACTGACCAGCCTTTACAGAGCGTGTGCAGTGCTTCAGGGCCTGCATTGAATGTTTTACAGAGAAATCCATAGGGAGTACGTTTTAATACCCCTGAGGGCCAGAGAAATCAGGTCACATGTCCAGGGCATCCTGAGACTCAACTTTGCCAGCTGGGGTATGGCCCAGCACCTGAGTGGCTTGGACCCAAGGGTTTTCACCCTGTCCCCTCCGGGAGCGTGTGACCTGGTGTCCTGGCTCTGTGAGGAGCTGCCAGCCTTCCCCTCTGGGCCAGCACGCCGAGGGCCCCGGGCACCTGGCTGTATATGTGTTTTCTCTTTAAGATTCTGAGTTGGTTGGTGTTCATGCCTGGAGGAAAGGACAAGCTCTGGTGAGGGTGCTGCTGGGGCCCCCACCTGCCCTCCCCAGGCTCCAGAGCAAGGCCCCCTCGAGAGACCAGGCCCCCGTCGCAGAGTTAGGTACCTTGTACCTCTGCCTCGACGCTGCTCTGCTGTGTGGCATCTTGGGGGTCAGGGTGGGCGCCGGGGGAGAGACGCCCAGGCAGCAACGGCATCAGGGTGCGGGCGCAGCACCTATTCCCACAGAGACCTGTCAGATGCCCTCCAAACCCACCAGCAGACAGGGGCTTTGGGGAGTCACTGCATTTAAAAAAAACCAAAAAGAGGGTTTCTGTTGCTGAGAAGCAAATTTCTGCTCCTGGAAGACAGGGCACGGCCACCAGGCTGTCCTGACTTAGAGAATGCAGGCCTGCAGCCACAGTGGCTCCCAGGAGACGTCTGTTACCCGCCCCCCCCCCACCACACACACACACACACACACACTCAGTTTTCGACATGTTCAGAGAGGATGGCTCTGTGCCAGATGCCTGGGCACAGCCATGAGTCACCCAGACGTGCATCTGCCCGCAGAGGGCTTCTGTGCGTGGATGACGAGTACAGAGCCAAGAGAGGGGTCTCTGGGGGGCTCTGCTCCTCCTGGCAACCCTGTGACTGCCTGTCTTTGCAGATCACAGCAAGAAGGTTGGAGCCCCCAAGAGCTCCCCTGTCCACCCCCAGATGCCAAGTCCAGCCTCCATCCGCAGTGACCCGCAGATGCCTGCAGCCAACGTACCCACCCTGGCTTCCCGTGATCCACCCGTGAACGTCCAGGCTGCTATGGCGGTCCTTCGAGACCTCCGCCAGCAAATCCAGGCCCGGCTGGAGCTGGCCCGGTCCCGCCACCCGAGCCGAAGGCTGGAGCTGCACAGCCTGGCAGGGAGGAGGCAGCCAAGCTCCTGGAAACCCCCAGACATCCAGGGCTCCTTCTGGAAGAGCCCTGAAGCCCCGATGGACGGGCTGCCCACTTCCGAGAGGGCTGGGAGCCTCCCTACCACACGGCGCTGGAGCCCCGTGGCAGAGTGGGAGTCCTATCCACACAGGAACTGGGCAGCTCCAGGATGGGACACCTCTTTCCAGAGATGCGTGAGCCCCACCGAAGGGCTGAACTCCTTCCCCCAGCGGCCCTGGAGCGCCTCGGCCAGGCAGGCCTCCTGCCCACCGAAGACCTGGGCGTTCCAAGGACGAGACCCCACCTTCCAGAGGCCTGGGAGCCCCCCCGAAAGGTGGGTCCCCATCCTGCAGCGGTCCTGGAGCGCCTCAGCCGGGCAGGCCTGGGGTCCGCAGAGGGCCTGGACCGCTTCTGAAGACCTGGCGACCTCCGCCCCGAGGCCATGGAGCCCTCTGGAAAGGCCGAGCCAACTCACTTGGCGGCCTTGGAGTGCCTCCTTCACGCAGGGGCCCAGCCCCCTGTATCAGGGCAGGGGTCCCCTGCGGACCTCTTCGGGGGCCAAGCTCACCTGGCCGAGGCCCAGCCAGGGTGCCCTTTGGAATGCGCCTGAGAAGGAGAATGAGGTGCGGCCACCTCGGTCCTGCCCCAAGCCTCGGGGGGCCCTGGGCCCCCTCCATGGCTCCGAGTCCCTGCGTGAGTTCATGCGCCAGAAGACTGTGGCCTGGCGACGGCAGGCCCTAGAGGAGAAGGCCTCGGCCATGCGCTCGCTGGAGCTCAGAAACCAGAGGCTGCAGGACGCCCACAGGAAGCAGAGGGAGGCCGTGCTGGGCAGAGCCGTCCCTGTGGTCTCCCAGACAACCCCCGGCATCGTGACCTTCGTCCCGCACGAGGCACAGTCCAGGGTATGCAGCAGCTCGGACACCCAGCTCCCCTGGCCTCCATGGGGCTTTACGGGGACCCCATTGCCTCCGTTTCTGCCCACCCTCCCCGGGAGGGACCAGCCTGTGATCCCGCGGAGGCCGGGGACAGCTCCGAGGCTGAGACAGGACCTGGGGTCTTGTGGCTGGGCTGGGGTTGATGGCATCCTTCTCTGCTTTAGGACCTGGAAGCGGCCACCGGGCCGAGGGTGCCGGTGCTGCAGTGGAGCAAGGTGACTTCCGGCATGGTGCTGGGGGACCAGGAGGCCCCAGGCAGGTGGGTGTGCGGGGGCCGGGGCTGGACTCCCAGGGGGGCTCTCCGGGGCAGGGGCTGGCTCACTCTGCCCAGAGCTGCACAGAGCCTGTGATCAGGGCTGCGTTGGTTTCCACTGAGGTGGGATTGCTGTCACGTAAAGTTAACCTTTACAAGGTGAACTATTCAGGGGCCTTTAGCACATTCACAATATTGTGAAACCAACCACCACCTCTGTCTAGTCCCAAACCATTTCATCACCCAAAAGGAAACCCAGTTCCCATTCGCAGTCACTGCCCCCCAATCGTCCCCTGAGCCCTGAGGCATCCCCAATCTGCTGTTCGTCCTTATGGATTCACCTGTTCTTTTTTTTCCCCATGTACTTTACGGGAGGTCCTTGTTGGTTATCCGTTTTAAACACAGCAGCATGTACATGTCCATCCCAAACTCCCTAACCATATTCCTCCGGGCAACCATACGTTCATTCTCCGAGTCTGTGTGTCTCTTTCCGTTTTGTAAGTAAGTTCCTTTGTGTCATTTCTTTCTGGATTCCACACATAAGGGATGTCATACACTATTTCCCCCTCTCTGTCTGACTGACTTCACTCAGTATGACATCTCTAGGTCCATACATGTTGCTGCAAGCGCCATTGTCTCATTCTTTTTGCGGCCGAGTAATGTTCCATCATGTGTGCGTACCACATCTTCTTTATCCATTCCTCTGTCAATGCACACTTAGGTTGCTTCCGTGTCTTGGCGGTTGTAAATTGTGCTGCAGTGAACACTGGGTTGCAGGAATCGTTTTGGATCATGTTTTCTTTTCCCCAGATAAATGCCCAGGACTAGGATTGCAGGGTCATGTGGTAGCTCTGTTTTTCGTTTTTTGAGGAACCTCCATGCTGAACTCTGCAGGAGCTGTACCAAGTTACATTCCCACCCACAGTGGAGGAGGGTTCCCTTCTCTCCACACCCTCTTTCTTGTTGGTGGATTTTTTTGATGATGGCCATTCTGGCTGGATGGATTCACCTGTTCTGCTGTCTCATGTCAGTTGAGACAGCACAGGGCCTCTGTGCCTGACTTCTTCCTCTGAGTGTGTTTTCCAGGTTCATCTGTGTTGCAGCATATGTCAGGACTTCCTTCCTTTTTAGGGCTGAGTGATATTCCACTGGGGCATCTCCCACATTTTGCACACCCCTGGTCAGCTCATGGACTTGTGGGTTGTGTCCCCCTTTTGGCCACTCTGATCGAAACATCCGAGCACCTGTCTTCAGCTCTCCTGTGCACGCACCCAGGAGGAGAGTTGTCCGCTCATGTTGTACCTCTGTGTCTCACTCATGGAGGAGCTGCTGGGCTGTATTGGCGGTGACCACAGCGTTTTGCATTCCCACCAGCAGTGCAGAGGAGATCCAGTTTCTCCCTGTCCTCACCCCACGGTGCTCATCCCCATGGCGAGGGGCTGTGGGCAGTGCCCTGTGGGCTTCAGGCCAGGGCCAGCCACTTCCTGGCCACCTGCCTGATGACGAGGGGAGGGCAATGTGACAAGGAGCTCATAGCCGGGTTCCGGGAGCATCATCTACGTGTGGCCATAGGGGAGAAGCGGACCCAGAGGGGCTGAGGATAGGGGTCCCCACAAGACACCGCCCCAGCAGAAGCTGCCTGCCCTGGGTGCACCTTTGGCAGCCAGTGCTCTGGGAGGGGGCTCTGGGCTGAACCCCTTGGAGCTCAGCACCCACCCTCTTTGCAGCAGCTCACCTCAGTGGATCGGATACCCTCCCCTGACCCCTGGCTCCTGGGAGTTTCTCTCTCTGGCTCCTTTTTCTTCATTCATCTTGAAAGTGCGCGGCCCTGGGCCACTTCCCAGATTCGGGTTCCACAGGGCAGCCCGGGGTCTGCATCTCTTTTTACCATCTCAGTGTTGGTGTCTGGTCACATCCAGACGAGGACACAGGTCCAAAGTGAACGTGCTCATGCTGAGCGCACATGTCACCTGCACCAGGGTTGAGAAACCCATCACACCCCAAGGGCAGCCCCCCATTGGGAAGGCTGTTGGGGTCCTGACTGTGCAGCTCCTTCGGCTGGACACCACACTGGGGGATGGTCATCTCCATCGGTGGGGCGGCTCTAGGTCCTTCATCTTGCTTCTCTGTGTCCTTTTTTTTTCACTTACAAACATTTCACTTAAAATGTACATGACATCCCCTTCGTGGATCACAGCCTTGTCATGGTGAAGAGGCTTGCAAAGCTCCGTGAAGCTATGAGTCATGCCATGCAGAGCCGCCCGAGATGGACAGGTCTCACTGAAGAGCTCTGACAAAACGTGGTTCGCAGGAGAAGGGAATGGCAAACCACCCCAGTGCCCTTGCCTCGAGAACACCATGGACAGTATGAAAAGGCAAAAAGATAGGACACCAGAAGACGAGCTCCCCTGGGTCAGAGGTGTTATCCAATGCGCTGCTGGGAAGGAGCAGAGGGCAGTTACTAACAGATCCACAAAGAATGAAGTGGCTGGGCCAAAGCAGAAAAGATGCTCAGCTGTGGATGTGTCTGGTTGGTGAAAGTAAAAAGTCTGATGCTGTAAAGAACAATATTGCCTAGGAACCCGGAATGTTAGGTCTATGAATCAAGGTAAATTGGACAAGATCAAGCAGGAGATGGCAAGAATGAATATAAAAATCTTAGGCGTCAGTGAACTAAAACGGACAGTAATGGGAGAATTTAACTCAGATGACCATTATATCTACTACTGTGGGCAAGAATCCCTTAGAAGAAATGGAGTGGCCCTCGTAGTCAACAAGAGTCCGAAACACAGTACTTGGAGGCAGCCTCAGAAACAACACAAGATCTTGGTTTGTTTCCAAGGCAAACCATTCAGCATCACAGTAAGCCAAGTCTATGCCCCAACCACTGATGTCGAAGAAGTAAAGTTGACTGGTTCTGTGAAGACCTATAACACCTCCTAGAACTAACACTATAAAAAGATGTCCTTTTCATCAAAGGAAATTGGAATGCAAAAATAGGAAGTCGAGAAGGCTGTGTTTTCATTCTGTTGATTGGGTCTTTTGACACATACATGTTTTTAATTCTGAAGTAGCCCAAGTTGCCTATTTGTTGTTTTGTTACCAGTGCTTCTGGGGTCACATCCAAGAAATCATTGCCAACTGGTCTCCTTCTGCCTAATAGGTGCGTGTGGTCTGTCGTGATCACCACGGTCACAAACGGACCTGGGCCTGGCCCGGAAGCTGCTTCCACGTGCATCCCTGCACACACGTGTCTCCGACACGCATGGAGACGGTCGCCCCCGCCCCCAGGCTGACCCCTGTCCCTTCTTTCCCTGCAGCTTCTGCCTGTGTTTGAACAGAGCCTTGAACCCCACCAAGACTCTGGAGGTGGGAGGCCCCCAAGATGGCTGGGAGGGCGCGCCCCTGCTGATGCCAGCCAGCTCCTCCCTGGGGCCCCTGAAGTTCCAGGACCTGAGCACGCACTGCCGGAACCCGGGGCTCTGCATATACCTGGACCCTGAGGAGTCGGAGCGCCTGGGCATGCCGGGCCCCCTGCACTTCCGGTACAAGCAGGCCCGGCTGCAGGCCCTGGAGACCATGGCCAACATCCTGAAGCAGCGGATCGACGTCCTGACGGACAAGCTGCGCCGCTCCGAGGCAATGGATGCACTGGTAGGGCCTGGCCCGGGGCCGCTGCCCTCCGACGCCAGCACGCCGGCCCGCCCCAGAGCCCTAGTGCCCAACGTGGGCCCAGGGGCGCCCTGGGACTGGGCAGGGCTGCGGGCCAGGCCGCTTCTCTCCACCACCGGCTTCCGGGACACAGAGACGGCGCGCTGGAGCCCTGGCTGGGAGCGGCCGCAGAGCGCGAGCCCCAGGGCCCGCCACGCCAGTGAGCCCATAGGTAGGACTACCCCCAGGCCCCGCCGGCAGCCAGGGGACCCCCACTTTCTCCTTGCCCCTGGGTCTCCTCCCCTCGAGGGGGGACGATGACTAGACCCCAGCCATTGTCCCTCTGTGCCTGCTGTCGCCACCTTGCCTCTGGCGGGGGAGGGGCGGGCCCCTGGTCCTGAGGTTGAAGTCCTGCCCCCTCCCCGCCCCGCCTTCGCAGAGGGGTGAGAGCGCAGGACCCCTGTGCCTCCTGCCATGGGGATGCAGGGGGGACCATCTCACTCCCTGCAAAGCAGCAGCCCCTCCACACCCCGCCGGCCTGTAGGAAGTGAAGTCCCGATGCTCCTCTCTCGAAAGGTTTCACGGACAATGGACGCTCTGAGCTGGATGGGAGGCTGGCAAGAAACGTGGCTTCTTTCCAGGCCCTCAGCCCCTTCGCAGGGAGGTAAGGCTGGGCGCTGCCCTCGAGTAACTTCATGTCCCCGGGGTGGGTGCAGCCGGGCCGGCAGGGCGACACAGCTCCTGGCCTGTCCTGGGGGAGACGCGGGCCTTGGACGCCTCCGGCTGGGCGGCGTGCAGTGGGCCACGGGAGGCCCCAGTTGCCCAGGCGTCCCCGGGTGGTTGGCAGGCTGGTTGTGTCCGGGGCGTGTGGAGTCAGGGGACCTCCATCTGGGTCTGCTCGCTGGTGTCAGATCCTCAGGACCACCTGCCCACAAGCCCTTGAACAGGCCCGTCTCCAGCCCTGACCTCCTCTAGAGCCACTTCACACGGGTCCCTTTCCATCAGTTGACCGCCCCCAGGCTGACCCCTGTCCCTTCTTTCCCTGCAGCTTCTGCCTGTGTTTGAACAGAGCCTTGAACCCCACCAAGACTCTGGAGGTGGGAGGCCCCCAAGATGGCTGGGAGGGCGCGCCCCTGCTGATGCCAGCCAGCTCCTCCCTGGGGCCCCTGAAGTTCCAGGACCTGAGCACGCACTGCCGGAACCCGGGGCTCTGCATATACCTGGACCCTGAGGAGTCGGAGCGCCTGGGCATGCCGGGCCCCCTGCACTTCCGGTACAAGCAGGCCCGGCTGCAGGCCCTGGAGACCATGGCCAACATCCTGAAGCAGCGGATCGACGTCCTGACGGACAAGCTGCGCCGCTCTGAGGCAATGGATGCACTGGTAGGGCCTGGCCCGGGGCCGCTGCCCTCCGACGCCAGCACGCCGGCCCGCCCCAGAGCCCTAGTGCCCAACGTGGGCCCAGGGGCGCCCTGGGACTGGGCAGGGCTGCGGGCCAGGCCGCTTCTCTCCACCACCGGCTTCCGGGACACAGAGACGGCGCGCTGGAGCCCTGGCTGGGAGCGGCCGCAGAGCGCGAGCCCCAGGGCCCGCCACGCCAGTGAGCCCATAGGTAGGACTACCCCCAGGCCCCGCCGGCAGCCAGGGGACCCCCACTTTCTCCTTGCCCCTGGGTCTCCTCCCCTCGAGGGGGGACGATGACTAGACCCCAGCCATTGTCCCTCTGTGCCTGCTGTCGCCACCTTGACTCTGGCGGGGGAGGGGCGGGCCCCTGGTCCTGAGGTTGAAGTCCTGCCCCCTCCCCGCCCCGCCTTCGCAGAGGGGTGAGAGCGCAGGACCCCTGTGCCTCCTGCCATGGGGATGCAGGGGGGACCATCTCACTCCCTGCAAAGCAGCAGCCCCTCCACACCCCGCCGGCCTGTAGGAAGTGAAGTCCCGATGCTCCTCTCTCGAAAGGTTTCACGGACAATGGACGCTCTGAGCTGGATGGGAGGCTGGCAAGAAACGTGGCTTCTTTCCAGGCCCTCAGCCCCTTCGCAGGGAGGTAAGGCTGGGCGCTGCCCTCGAGTAACTTCATGTCCCCGGGGTGGGTGCAGCCGGGCCGGCAGGGCGACACAGCTCCTGGCCTGTCCTGGGGGAGACGCGGGCCTTGGACGCCTCCGGCTGGGCGGCGTGCAGTGGGCCACGGGAGGCCCCAGTTGCCCAGGCGTCCCCGGGTGGTTGGCAGGCTGGTTGTGTCCGGGGCGTGTGGAGTCAGGGGACCTCCATCTGGGTCTGCTCGCTGGTGTCAGATCCTCAGGACCACCTGCCCACAAGCCCTTGAACAGGCCCGTCTCCAGCCCTGACCTCCTCTAGAGCCACTTCACACGGGTCCCTTTCCATCAGTTGCTACGGACGGATGACCGGCCTGGGGCAGGGGCAGCAGGCGCCCTCAGCAGTCCTGCTGTCCACCCGGCCAGCCCAGCCTGGGCCCGCGAGGCTGCCTTAGCAGTCACTGTCCCGGGGACGCTCTGCTGGGCCCAGCCGCACTCCAGGCCCCCGGCCGTGCAGCTGCGACCGCCCCGGCCCCTCTGTCCCCCAGTTCATCGCCCCCCCCAGCGCCCTCAGCCCCTGGGGCCCATGTTGGCCCCTGGACTTCACTGAGCAGCTGTGGCCCCGTCTCCTCCGGCAAGGACTGCCCGCTCCCACCCCAAGATCCATTCCTTCAGCCCCTCTGCCTGGCGGCTCCTGCAGGCGTGGGTCCCTGTCCAGCCGTCCTCCCTGGCCAGCAGTGCCCTCCTGGCCCCCAGCCCCACCAGCTGCCTTCCCAGTGCTGCCCCAGGAGGGTCTCAGACACCCCAGGCCCCCTCACCTGAGCCCATAGGTAGGACTACCCCCCCCTCACCTCGTTTGGCCACAGGTCCTCTGCGACTTCAGGCTCCACAGCTCAGAGCCAAGGCGGGGGCGGGGGGGTTCCAGAGGGGGACAAGCCAGTGAGGGGGTCCCCGGGGGCTGGCCAGAGATGCTCAAGGGGATCCTCCCCACCCACTTCGCCAGGTGTGTCCTGGACTCGGTGCCCAGGTTGGGGACTCGGGGGGCCGCCTGGGGGGCGCAGTGCTCGTGAGCAGAGAGGATAGTGGAGGGTGGAGACTGTGGCCGTGCTCGGAGAGCCGGGAATCCAAGTTGGGGGGAGGCCCTCGCACGGGGCGGGGGGTGGTCAGAGCAGATCCCAGGCCTGTGCAGAAAGCACACCCCACCCCCAGCCTGCGTCCTCCCTAGGAGGTGGGGGTTTCCCATATCACCCCGATGCCCCCAGCACTGCCTCACCCTCCTCCCCTCCCCTCCCCGGCCCAGCCTCAGTCAGGTTGGGTATCCTCTGTGTGTGTGCTCAGTTGTGTCCGACTCTTTGCACCCCCATGGGCTGTAGCCCGCCCGGCTCCTCTGTCCATGGGATTCTCCAGGCACGGATACTGGAGTGTGTTGCCATGCCCTCCTCCAGGGGGTCTTGCCGACCCAGGGATCGAACCCAGGTTTCTTATGTCTCCTGCATTGGCAGGCAGGTTCTTTGCCTCCAGCGCCACCTGAGAAGCTGGAATGGAATTGTTGCCACCAGTAGGGGTCAGCATTGGGCCAGACTTGGCTGCCGTCATCCCCTGCTCCCTGTCTAGACCCTGAGAAGGGGAGGGGGATGGGAGGCTCCAAGGTGGACAGCCTACATCTGTAGGTCCTGTCGCTGGATGGCCAGCAAGTTCCTGTGGGCTCAGACCTCAAAGGTCTCAGAGCCGGGAACCCTGGGCACCCGCAGCACCCCCCAGGTCATAGAGCCTTCCCACCAGGGCGCAGGTCCCCTCCCCACCCCTCCCGCAGCCTGCCCAGGCACAGAGAGATGGCAGAGGTGGAAGTTGTTCAGAGCCATGCCCTGGACGGCCCAACACCCTTGGAGCCCAGGATCGGGGTCTCCAGGAGGGCCCCTGGCCTGGCCCGGCCCTGCTTTCTAAACTAGCAGGTCGCCACTCACTGCTCCCCGGGGGTTGCTTTGCGGCTGTGCCTCTGGCCACCTCCCTCAGTGCCCTGTGAGTCCTAGGCTGCAGGGCACAGCTCCGCTCCCCAGGGCCTGGCCCATCCTGCCTCCTCTCAGGCCAGTTCCTGAGTCGGGGTGGGTCTCCTCCATCAACTCCTTTCCTTGCTGGGAACGCGGTGCTCAGTGGCTGGGTGGGGCCGGAGCTTGTTACCAGCATCATGTGGTGGGGACACTAGGGCTTCCCGCCCTGCCCCCCGGCCCTCGACGGAGCTTGGGCCCCTGATGCCCAGTCCACCCCCAGCCTGTCTGGAAGGAAGGATGGGAGAGTGTGTGGCCCAGCTGTGTGCCCACCGTCACCCCGCAGGCCTCCCTGAACCTCAGGCAGTGCTTTCAGCACCCTGAGGGGTGTATGCTCATCCCTATTTTACAGATGGGGAAGCTGAGGCTGGCGGAGAAATGACCTGCTTGGGGGAGGACAAACCAAGGGTCAGACCCAGGGCTTGGATTCCAGAGCCCGTGGTTTTTCCGCTACACCCCCTCTCTGGCAAGTGGTTCTCAAGTTGTTCCTCGGGAACTCGTTAGAAAATGCAGTGTCCTCCCCCTCCTCCATCCCGCCCTCCTGAATCTGATGTGCTCGGGGTGGGCCCTGTGATCAGGTGATTCCGGTGAGAACCACTGCCTTAGAAAAAAATCTAGACCTGCGGTCAGCAAGCCACCGCCCCCAGGACCCACCAACAGTCTTTGTAAATAAAGTTTTATTGGCGTGCAGCCACACTCATCACGTTTACACAGCGAGCGTGGCTGCTTTCCTGCCACAAAGGCAGAGCTGAGTGGTTTCCATGGAGACAGAGGCCTGGGGGGCCCACAGAGCCTGAACGCGGATGGTCTGTCTCTCTGCGGGAAATTCTGCAACACGTGATCTAGATAATGGAGGGCGACTGGCGTGGGGACTGATGGCCTTGGAGGACACAGCTCCTTCCTGCCCTTTGATGATCCCAGGCGGGAGTTACTGCGTGCCTACGGGTTCTGGGTTGGGAAGGAGGGAGCGAGAGAGTCTAGAAAAGACCCTGCCACGACCCTGCCCTCAACGCCTCCATGCCCACGCGTTCCTGGAGCAGCCCCTGGTGCCACTGCCTCTAGGAACGCTCCTCCCCTGACCGTCGGAGCCCGCGGTCAGCGCTCCCGCCCCAGCGCCCCTGAGGCCATCCCGGGATGAGCCCCTGGGCCCGCCCCTCACCTCTGCAGCATCTCGTCTCAGGCCCAGGCCTGCTGCCTCTTTGTGGAACAGTCTTTTCACGCCATCTCCCCTGCGGGGTCGGGGGGTAAGCAGAGCAGCTGCTCAGCAAACGCCTGTGCCTGAGGATCCGGGGGGCTGGAGGAGGCTGGGCCCGATGGCCCACAGGTGTGGTCGCGTCTTTAGTCACTCGAAGGGGTCCTGGGTTGCTGGACTGCGGGAGAGAGAGGCACATATGCTGGTGAGAGGTGAAGTGAGGCGGGCTGTCAGCACCGCTCGTTCAAGCCCAGCATACGCCTCTGGGCCACAGGCCCCTAACCCAGGCAGCTGCCGCCCACCTCTGCTCTCCTGCCCCCCCTAGGCTGCTACCCTCTTGGGAGGGGCCCAGGGCCACGCCTTCCTCTTCTTCCCATGGGCAGACGTGCCAGGCAGCTTGCCCTGATGGAGGGCAGGCCTCTGACTCCAACCGGACCAGTTTGACCCCAGCCTTCTTGGTCGCCCGGCCGGCTGAGGTCACTCTCCGACCAGGGCGGCAGTGCAGGGCACTGGTGGAGTTAGAGCTCGGCTGTGGGCCCCGCTCCCCCATGGGCCTGGTGGACAGTGCCCCCTAGCCGATGGCCGAGGGGGCGGGGATGAAGGACATGCCCCTCATGAAGGATGGAGGACTGTGCCTGTCACCCCAGAGTGGGCGTTTTGAGTGAGCAGACCGAGGACTTTTGGGCAGAGGCGAGGGCTTTTGGGCAAAGGGCATTCTGACGTGGGCCCCACCCCTGGACAGTGACCGTGGACGCCGCGCACTCCTGCCGGGAACTGGTCCCCCTGCAGTAACGAGCACTCAGCCCCAAGTCACTGCTCACCGATCAGGCCCTGCCGAGCCAGGAGATGCTGCGGGGGCAGCTACCCCCGGGCTTCTGGTCACAGGCCCGGCCCCTCTTTGGCCCTTGGGTCTCTCTGGACACCGGGCCTGCAGGAGCCCAGCCTCCTGGCCCTCCCCTGGGCCCCCAAGCTGTCTCCTGCCTCGAGGGTGTTCGCTGCTCACACAGGTGTTTGTGTGTCTCCAGCTCACTCGGGGTGCCGGCCACGCCAGACCCCCGCGGCGGCTCCCTGCGGCTGGAAGAGACGCGCTCGGCCAGAGGGGCAGGCTTGGTCGCGCCCTGGACCCTCCGGAGCTGTGGTAAGGGCAAGCCTGTGCATAGGACCTGGGCTAGCTGGTCGGGTGGCCAGGGAGGTCCTCTGGGGACCCCCTCCACTGCCTGATGCTCAGCGAGCCTCTGGGTGTAGAGAGGTCCTTTCTTATGTGGAGCGTATCCACGCATCAGTATTAAAGCTTTTTGGAGGCTTTCGGGGCCCAGCTGCTTGCTCTGTGCTCCTGCCACGCCTCTGTCCTGACTTCACCCTTGCCCTCACGAGGGTCGAAGGCTTGCTTCATCCACAGCTCTGCTCCCGGGGCCCAGCCTTCTGCCTTCTCTTCTGCTGCCAGAGGGTTTTCGTTTCTGGTTACAGTTGAGACTTGCCCAGAACCCCGGAGCTGGTGCATAGCTGGGGCCGTGGGGGTGAGGCGCCGGCTGGGTACCCTCCTGGGTTCAGACCTTTATGCTGGCAGCGTGCAGAGTGGAGCATGAGCTGGCCTGTGGATGCTCGGCCCAGTGGGGCTCAGGGAGGGGGACAGCTGCAGGGCTCTGGCCTGGCGCTGGGAACCAAGAGCTGTTCTGAGAAGTCTGGGGTGCGCATCTGTTTCATTCTCATTTTCCAGTTAGTTTTCTCCAAAATAAGAATAGGACGTGCCCACGTCTGTAGGAGAATTGGGCCATTGCAGTGCATCCAGAGTGAGCCCCGGTCCCTGCCCCGCTCAGGAGCAGCCCCGGATAAAACCCGCAGCTCCTTAGGGACCCGGGCGGAGCTGCCCGTCTCACGAGGAGGGCGGTGAGGCCTGTGGGATCCGGCGGCCTGTGAGAGGCTTGGGAGGCAGTTAGCAGCCCCCAGGTCCCCCTGGTGCCTGGGGAGAGGCGGGCGGGAGGAATTTCAGCTTTGCACTCTGGCGTCCCACCGTCCTGGGTTCAGAGCTCCTACCAGGCAACAGGGGGTGTGCGGGACTCCTTGTGGATGAGCAGTTTCCCAAGAGGTTGCCCACAGCGGTGCCCCCAAGAGACACCTGCCCCTCCCTGGAAGACAGAGGGCCCCTCAGGCCAAGCTGGGCAAGAGGCAGGGAACAAAGTCCTCTGCGGACCAGGGGTAGGCATGTATGAGCTGTTGGACACACACATACATGTGTGTGTGTGTAGAAGGGGGTCCTGGGCCCTCTGACAGGTTCTGTGCCACTCCATCCTGCAGTCAACCTCCCCACTACCGCCCCAAGGTCTGGGAGACCCTCCCAGCCTGGGGAGGGGGCTGCTGGGGAGCCCGCTAGTCTCTTGGCTCACCCTCCCTCTGTTCACTCAGCACCAGCTCGCTGAGGACCTGCCAAGCCTGGCATGGACCGGGCATCAGGCCCTGCCCTCAAGCAGCCTGCCTTTTAGGAGGTGGTGGGCAATCAAAAGATGCCTTGATAACCACCTGCAGCTGTGAGATCCTGGGCAACCAACGCCCAGGGGGAGAGTCTGCCTGGAAGTAGGTGGATGCTTCCAGTACCAGTCTCCAGGAAGTGTGGCCCAGTGAGGGGCATGAGCTGCCCAGGGTGCCCAGGACGGGCTGGGACCAAGACTTGGGTTCAGATGCCAGCTCTCTGCCCACCCCTCTCCATCATCTTGGCCGAGCAGGAACTGGGAGGCGGGGCACCTCTGACTCGGGCACACCTGGCCCCTTGGGACCATCAGCTGTGCCCAGTCTGTCAAACGGGGTCACACTGGGACTCAGGGGCTGAGACAGGAAGCAGGTGGGCTGGGCAACAGCGTTGCCCTCGGCCTCCACTCTTGCTGGTCCGCAACACCAGCCCACTCCGTCCTCTCGGGCGGCACAGCCCCCATGTGCCCCGTACTGTGTCTGCCCACACAGGGCGGGCGATGCCCGGGGTCATGGCAGGGAGGCGGTACAGTGTCTCTCGGGACGAGCAGACCCACCCGGATCCCACGGGGAGGGCAGACTCCTCTCAACATCCCAAAGGGAGGGGCCGTCCACTGCTGACGGACAGGACGACATGCCTGGACGGTGGACCACACGTCAGGGGTGGGGGCGGTGCGAGCTTTCCCACAAGTCACCCCTCGAGTGGGTAGCCTGGGTAGGGTGCCAGGCAAAGGCAAAGGAAAACAGATCAGCAGCTCCTTCATGCCAAGCTGCCTCTTCCCCAGGGTGTCTCTCGGCAGGCAAGGGGCTGGGCCACAGACTTCCTGAGGAAGGAGGGGCCTGGCGCGAGGGTGCCCAGCTGCAGCCCGCCAGGGGGCCCCCGCTACCCCACTGTGCCCCCCAAGTAACAGCCGAGGCAGAGGGCTCCTCCCCACCCCGCCCCCTGGAGCCTCTGAGGTCTGTGTGGGCAGAGCTGTGGGCCAGGCCCCCATCCTCCACTCGGCGGAACCCCAGCAGGCCAGGTGCCAGGCCAAGTGCCGGGTCTTCCAGAAAAACCCGCTCCTCTCCCAGCTCTGCCTGTAGGCGGCCTCGCTGGGAGGCTGGGAGCCAAGCAGTATCTCGGGAGCCCGCCACCAAGCAGCCAGCACAACCCAGAGTGCTAGCGCTGGGCACTCCCACCAGACGCCTCCTCCAGGAAGTCTCCTGGATAACACTTGGGCTGGTGCTCTGCTCAGCCGTCTCAGCATGCTTGGTGGGAGTGAAACTCACGTGTGCACCTCTGTCTCTGTGGGCCATGAGAACCTGAGGGTCTGGCTCTCCTTGCAGCCCCGGCTCCTGCCCGGCCAAGTGCTTGGGGAATATTGGCTGAATGCGTGAATGACTTCCTAAAGGCCTTGAGGCCCCCTGGGCCTGTCTGTGTCATACAAGGCAGCTCACTGGTGCAACCTGCCTCCGGGCAGGTCCCAAGCTCATGCCCCTGTTCACAGAAGAGGAAGCCAGTGCTCAGAGAGGCATAACCCCCACCGCCCGACAGTGAACGGCAGAGCGGGGACCGGGGCCCAGCCTTTCCCACTGGGAGCAGCGCCGTCCCAACAGAACTTTCTGCAGTGACACAGATGTTCTAAATTCTGGGCCCTCTGATCTGGTGCCTACCAGCCACGTGTGGCTGTGGGGGCCTCTGGGACCTGGCCGGTGCCACTGGAGAGTGAAGTTTTACATTTTTGTTTCCCCTGAGTTTAAACGTGAGCAGCAAGGGCGGCGTGCCATCATACAGCGAGGCTCCAGCCCGCAGACACGGCAGCCTCTTGCCCAGGCGGGGCCCCACTGGCTTTGTTTCAGTTTGAGGCCGTGGGCCCCCAGCCACAGCGCGGTCAGGGAGAGCACACCCAGTCCTCAGCGTCCCCATCGCTGTTGGCAACAGTAACAGTCGCCACGTATGTGTTTAATCATCCTGTTGGAGCCACAAGGCCACCAGGCGCTCTGGGGAGGCAGGTCGTGCTGGATTCTTGGGGCCCCTCCCCGATGGCCATCAGGAGTTGGGGAGCGAGGCCGGTACCGTCCTCTGCTCAGCAGGGCCAGCTGCTCGGTCGGCCCAGGCCACATCCGTCTCGGGGAACACTTGCTTTCTCCCGGATCGCAGCTCAGAGCTTGGGGACCCACAGCCCGGGGGCCTGGTGACCTGTCATGGGTGCTGGCCTGGCCAGGGATGGCCCTGAGAGGTCGGCATCTCTTAGAGCAGCAGCTCTGGGGGCCTCGGCTCTCTGAAGCTTCCAGGCCCTGGAAGAGGATCAACAGGAACTCAGTGGAGGACCAGGGTATCTTCTTTCCAGGCCACCAGCAAGAGCAAGGGAGGAGTGGCCCCTTCTCCAGGGACCTGCCGGGCAGCCGGGAGCCTGGGGGAGCACGCCAGGCCTCCCCCACGTGCCCCGCATGTCAGCTGGCCAGAACCCCTGCCCCTCCCCTGGGCTCCGCGCTGCAGAGTGTCCTCAACGGCCGTGGAAGCGCCCAGGAGCTGGCTGGCTGTTGTTCACAGCTGTTTGGTCGCTCTAACGTGGGACGCTGAGCTGCCCTGTTCTGGGAAGCAGGGTGCCTCCCTCCTTTCTGCACAATCACCAGGGATGACCCAGGAGCTCGTCCAAGAGCCACCAGGAGAGCTTGCCGTCCACAGACCCAAGGCCTCTCCCGGGGTGGGGAAGCCCCCATCCTCCGTGCCCTCTGCTGCTGGCTCTCATGGGGGTCCAGCTGAGAAGATGGAGGGTGGGGCCAGAGGAAGCAACACTTGCTGCCCCTGCCTCTGACTACAGTCATCCCCTGCCACCCCCAGGCAGCCTCCAGGCTGTGTCCTTGGGGCCCCCACTGGGAACCAGAAGCCCTCGGCTGCTCAGGGAGCCTGAGGTTTCTGAGCCTGCACTCTGGACAGTCTCAGGGAGGCCGCAGGGTGGTGCCCCTCGGCCTGGGTTGCCGCACACCCAAGGGGCTGCGACCCTTATTAGGGCAGCCACTAGGTATCAGAGCATCTTACCACGGGGATGTCCCCATGGAGGCACTCACCGACTAGCACTTTCTCCAGGGCCCCAGGCAAGTGAGCAATGAGCCAAGGACTGTCTGGCAGCAATGCCTGTGTTCTTGGCCCCGGCCACATGTCTGCAGCCTGGGTCCCTGCTCCCAGGGGAGGGTGGCCGACTGTCAGGCAGGGAGAGGCCCCCACCCCCGCGGGGGGGGCAGGGTACGGCAGGCAGCAACCTGTCTCCTTGCCCCTCCGGCTGGGGGCCCTGCCCGCCCCTCCCTGGACGTGCAGGGAAGGTGTCCTGCCCCAGTGCGTGTCCTGCAGGCCCAGCACCGAGGCCGGCGAGGGCAGGCGCCCAGCCACCGCTTCCTGTGGTCCCCGCAGGTCCGCTCTCCGACGTCCGGCAGAAGTCGCTGCGTTTCCTGGAGTCCCTGAGGGTGTGTCACCTTTAGGCCGCTTCTGTTTGGGGGCCCACCGGGAGCAGCTTTCACCCCCGAGGCTGGGTGGCAGGGGCCCCAGAGTTGAGAGGGAGGGAGGGGAGCCTGGAGCAGAAAGGAAGCCCAGGGCCCCGGCCGGGCCGAGGCAGGGAGGCTGCGGGCTGGGGACGCTCTGTAAGGGTCCAGTCCTTGGAGGTGACACCGCCTGCCCTCTGAGGCGGGGTCGTTGCCAGGGAGCGGGGGGTGGCGTGGGGGCAGCAGGCGGGGGCCCCGGGGAGTCCTGAGGCTGCTCCTCGCCTCCCTGCAGCCGGACCGGCGGGAGCAGGGACAGGCGTTGACCCTCCTTCGGCGGCAGGCGGACCTGGAGGTCTGGGAGATGCAGAAGGCCCTGGGGGAGCTGCTTTCCAGACCCAGGCTGGAGGTCAGCCGGCCGGCCCTCCCCCTGAGGCCCAGCCTAGCATGGGGAAGGCTGGTGGGAAGCGTGGGTCAGGTCAGCCCGGGGAAGTGGGCTGTGGGTCCCGCTCAGGCTGAGGGCCTCCAAGTGCAGCTGCCCGCAGAGGCTGGCAGGCAGGCCCTGGGGTAGGAGACTCACGCGGCCTTGGCTCCTCCCTGGGACCCCGCCTGGTCCACCCTCCACAACACTCACTGCCTTCCTGTCCTCCCAGCGGCTGCGGGAGGAGCACTCAACCCAGGCCAGGCCAGGGGCGGCCTTGGAGCTGGAGCGGCCGCAGGTGCGTGTGGATCCGGAGCCGAGGACCTTTCAGAGCGCCGCGGCAGCCAGGCCCAGGTGTGGCCCCCCTCCCAGCGTTCGAGGGGGCTGGGTGGGGGTCTCGGGCCGCGTGGGCCACAGCCTGCAGCACTCTCTCACTTGGCAGCTCATACCCACTCCCGGGCCGAGACACGGCCACGCCCTGCCCTGGTCCCCAGGATGGAAAGAAGAGCTGGGCGGACGCGTCAGCTCACGCAGGTGAGTGGTCTCAGAACCGACACCCCAGCCACCAAACAGCATAGCTCGTGCCCCAGTGGGCCCCGAGGAGGCAGCTGGGTCAGGCGCCCAACAGAGGGGCTGGGGAGGGGGCGACCCGCCCACGGCCTCACGGGACAGGGGGAACTGGGGTTTGAAAGTGTTCCAGGCGTCATGCATGAATGTGAGAGTTGGACTCTAAAGAAAGCTGAGTACCGAAGAATTGATGCTTCTGAACTGCGATGTTGGAGAAGACTCTTGAGAGTCCCTTGGACTGCAAGGAGATCCAACCAGTCCATCCTAAAGGAGATCAGTCCTGAATAGTTCCTGGAAGGACTGATGTTGAAGTTGAAACTCCAATCCTTTGGCCACCTGATGTGAAGAGCTGACTCATTTGAAAAGACCCTGATGCTGGGAAAGATTGAAGGTGGGAGAAGGGGATGACAGAGGATGAGATGGCTTGATGGCGTCACCAACTCGATGGACATGAGTTTGAGTGAACTCCGGGAGTTGGTGATGGACAGGGAGGCTTGGCGTGCTGTAGTCCATGGGGTCACAGAGAGTTGGACACGACTGAGGACTCAGCTGAACTGACTTGATGTCACGACACACCATCGGGCATCGCTGCTTCCTGCCTCCTGCTTGTTAGGGCAATCAGGGAGCCAGTGAGCCAGTTAGCAGATGCACCACCCCCACCCACCCAGACCTGGGGGCAGTGAACCTGGATTATAAGAAAGCTTTCGGTTAGATGCCTAGCGAAGCAGCCCAACAGCGCAGGGCGTGGCCAAGTAAGGAGGTGTGGTGGGTGAGACGTCCAGCTCTGTCTGTCCTGCTTGGGCAGACCTTCAGGGTGACCGTCACCCTCCTGCTGAAATCCTGAATACAGCCCATCTCTGTCCCTTGGGGAACAGGGAAGCCCACACTCTTCCCAAGTCTGCCAATATGCCCACTTCCGTCCCTCTGAGCAGTCATTCCTTGAGGCCTCTCAGGTGCTGGCCCCGCGAATATCCAGCTGGATACTGGGTCCTTGTTGGCAAAGAGAGTTCCCTGTGTGCAGGCTGCAGGGACAGCCCAGCACAACCTCCGGGAGTTTGAACCGTGGCTGGGCTGGTGGCATATGATGGATTTGTTTGCTCCTGTGATGGACTTGTGGTTTAATTTCCTCATGGTCAGCTCAGTTCAGTTCAGTTCAGTCACCCAGTCGTCTCTGACTCTTTGCAACCCCATGGACTGCAGCACACCAGGCTTCCCTGTTCATCACCAGCTCCCGGAGTTTACTCAAACTCACGTCCATTGAGTCAGTGATGCCATCCAACCATCTCATCCTCTGCGGTCCCCTTCTCCTCCCACCTTCAATCTTTCCCAACATCAGGGTCTTTTCAAATGAGTCAGCTCTTTGCATCAGGTGGCCCAAGGATTGGAGCTTCAGCTTCAGCATCAGTCCTTCCAATGAATATTCAGGACTGATCTCCTTTAGAATGGACTGGCTGGACCTCCTTGCAGACCAAGGGACTCTCAAGAGTCTTCTCCAACACCACAGTTCAAAAGCATCAATTCTTCGGTGCTAAGCTTTCTTTAGAGTCCAACTCTCACATCCATACATGACCAATGGAGAAACCATAACTTTGACTAGACGGACCTGAGCCCAAATATGTAGAGATGTGGGTCTATCTTGGTGGATGTTCCGTGAGCTCTTGAAAAGAAACCCTGGTGCTGAGAACATCACTGTTTAGGATTACCGTGTGCCCTTGGTGAACTGACCCCTTTAAAACTCTGCTCTCACGAGATAGCCCTCTGTCCTCAGCGACCCGCTTTGCTGCGCGGCCTGCTGTGTCTGATCCAGCCACTCCCCCTTCCCCACAGCTAGCATCAGACGGTCCAGCTGGTCTGCCCTCTCCATCCTCCTGCTTGTAACAGATGTGTGTTTTCATATTTCCAGTGTGTTTCTTGGAGGCAGCCCGTAGGTGGATCTTGCTCTTTTGTCTTATTATACAATCCAGCAATCTCTGCCTTTCGCCTGGAGTGCTTCGCTATTTCCATGTAACAGAATTATCATTATCGTTAAGAGTTTTTTAAGATTTTTTTTTAATGTGGGCCATTTTTTAAAGTCTTTGTTAAATTTGTTACAATATTGTTTCTCTTTTGTTTTTGGAGTTTTGGTCGCAAAGGCAGGTGGGATCCCCAACCAGGGATTGAAACTGCATCCCCCGCATCGGAAAGAAAAGTCTTTTATTGTTGTTTTGTTTCTTTCTCTTCTTTTTTTGTTTAGGTTTTTTTTTTTTTTTGGAAGGCAAAATCTTAACCACTGGACCACCAGGGAAGTCCCAATGTTGTTAGGTTTTGAATCTATCATCCTGATATTTTCTTTTGTCTCAACTGGCCTTTTTTCCGTTTTCTTTTTCTGTGTTCTTTTGGGTCAAACAGTATTTTTTTTTAATCATTCAGTTTTCTCTCTGTTGTTGGCTTATGAGCTGTAACTGACTTTAGTGGTTGATCTAGGATTTACAATGGTACCTGTGGTGTACCTTCACGTGACATTCCACTGGCTCACCCGGAGTAGGAGGCCCTTGTAGCCAGCCCTCCATTTCTTTTTTTCTGGACTTTAGGCTACGCTAGTCATGCATTTTACTTTATAACTCCACAATACATTGTTATTTTTTAAACATTCAAGAAACTTTTAAAATTTATATATTTATGTATTATATACACATACATACACATGTATGTATACCCATATGTGTATATATGTGTGTATGTATACATCAGTTCAGTCACTCAGTTGTGTCCGACTCTTTGTGGCCCCATGGACTGCAGCACGCCAGGCTTCCCTGTCCATCACCAACTCCTGGAGCTTGCTCAAACTCATGTCCATTGAGTCGGTGATGTCATCCAGCCATCTCATCCTCTGTCGTCCCCTTCTTCTCCTGCCTTCAATCTTTCCCAGCATCAGGGTCTTTCCCAATGAGTTGGTTCTTCGCATCAGGTGGCCAAAGGATTGGAGTTTCAGCTTCAGTATCAGTCCTTCCAATGAATATTCAGGACTAATTTCTGCATTTTTTTTCTCTGATTACATTTATTCTTTGATTAAAGTCTTTTAGTTAAAGCAGGTCAGGGACATGACTGGGATTGGGGTGTGTGTCGGGGGAAAAACCATACAGTCCTGCTCCGTCTCATGGCCTCTTGAAGATTTGGCTGAAGCTGTGTGTCTGGCGGTTGAGGGGGCGGGGTGTTGCGCGGTGGTGGTTGTGGTGGTAGATTAAGTTGCCCAGACGCCCTAGCTCAGTGAAGACTTCCTGTAGAAAGGCCCCTGGAGCCTTATATGACCAGCCATGCCTGTTTTTCTGTCCTCAGAGCCCGTGCAGGAAGGGAGACCAGCCCAGCCCCGCTCCCAGCTGCCCCCAGCCAGGCTCTGCCCCTGGGAGGAACCCAGGTTCCAGGTACAGAACCCGGGGAAGGGGCTCACAAGTGGGCCCCAGGGGAGGGGACCCAGTTCTCCATCCCCGGGGACATCAGGTGTTGAGACCCACCCCTCCTGCAGCCTATGCCCAGAAGGGAGGCTCTCCCTGCCATGGGTACCACCGACCCGTCCAGCTTACATCTGCTCAAGCCCCTTCCTCACGGCTGGGGTGGCACGTGACAGCAGGTGTTCGGGGCAGGGCTGGCTCAGGCAGTGCTGACTGCACATCTCAGGGAGGGGGGCCGTCTTTCCTAACCCATCCAGAGCACAAACAGGTGGCCGGCTTGAGCACAGGGCCAACCTCACAAGGACCCCACCCTGCCTTCTTCGGGTGCCACCAGTTGGGAGGAGGATAGTAACGTGTCCCGGGGAAGAGGGGCACTACATGGAGAACAACGGGGTGGCCAGTCCGGGAAGGCTCCCTGGAGGCGGTGGCCTCCTCCCCGGGGAGTTGGGTGCTGCTCCCACTCAGAGATACTCAGTGGTGGTGACACGGCCCGGTCAGCCTGCCCCACCCCAGGGGAGCCGGACGAGGCCCCGGAGCGCGGCGCCGGTACCCTTCAGCCGCTTCACGATCCAGATGCTGGAGCAGAGCTTGCGGGAAGAGGACCTGCGCGCGCGGCACGAGGCCGCGCTGCTGCGCCTGCGCCAGAAAGCGCTGGAGGAGAAGACACGCGCCGAGCTGGCCTGGCTGGAGCATCAGCGAGGGTGAGCGCACGCTCGCAGCACCGGCCCCGCCCCGCCCCCACTCGGTACCCCCAGGGTAAAGTGCTGCTACCTAGGGTAATGGGCGTTTGATGCGACCAAAAGTACCAAAAGGTGAATACAGTGGCATTGAAACCTCTCCTAGCCCCACGTGTGCGAGATCATCTCTGCCCATTTTCCAGGCTGCCTTGGCAGGTCTTGTTAAGGGAGACACACACATAGCTATTTAAGCAGCATTTGGAATAGACTAGTCCATCCTGAAGGAAATCAGTCCCGAATATTCATTGGAAGGACTGATACTGAAGCTGAAACTCCAATCCTTTGGCCACCTGATTCGAAGAACCTATTCATTGGAAAAGACACTGATGCTGGGAATGATTGAAGGCGGGAGGAGAAGGAGGCAACAGAGGATGAGATGGTTGGATGGCATCATCAACTCGATGGACATGAGTTTGAGCAAACTCCAGGAGTTGGTGTAGGACAGGGAGGCCTGGCGTGCTGCAGTCCATGGGGTCGCAAAGAGTCGGACACGACTGAGCAACTGAACTTAACTGAATTTACACGCCGTTGTAGCTTGAGATTTCGTTTAAAAGTCAAGAAACCCTCTCTCTGTCCCTGCATGAGCGCTACGACACCCAGCGCACCCAGCACAGAGACAACAGTCCCCTTAGCCAGCCCCTCGAATTGGACCTCTGGGGTGTCTCCAACTCTGTGTCCTGAGTCGTGAACATCCCAGAGATGAATTCCTTAAGGTAAATTTGTGGAAGTGGAATTGATGTCAGCGAGGACACATTTTTTTACAGCTTCTTGTTATTCCCGTATTGGTCTCCAAATAGCTCATTCCAGTTAAGATCACTGGCGGTTTACAATCGTGCCAGGCTGGGGGTCTTCTATTCCATGATGCCTCCCACCTCCCCAAAAGGGCCCTCTGGCTGGGCTGGGGTGCCAGCATAGGAAACACGCTGTCCTCCCTTCCTCTCTCCAGGCCCAAAGGTGATCACGAGGGGACAGGAAGAGTGACAGTCTGGGCCGGGCCCATTGGACCCCTCGGGGTTCCCCCGCCTGCCCACGCACGGCCATCTCCTCCCGATGGCCCTGCCGTGAGAACTGGGCATGCCAGGTCCGCCTGGATAGCTCGGGCTAGCCAGGACTGCGGCTTTCCACAGCCACGGGCAGGCCCCAAGGCCAGCAGTCAGTCCAGTGCCTCCATCTCCTCTGCCAGGTATCTGAGCAGCATCGGCAGCGACACAGCGCTGGTAGCCTTGGCGGAGAAGCAGCGGCAGGCCCTCAGCCACCTGGAGCGCGAGCTGGTAAGGGCGGGCTTCGGGCGGGCCGACCCCGAGGCGCTCCCTCTGCTCTCCTGGGGCTGGGAACGCGAGCGCCCCCACCACAGACCCCCTGGGTGCTTGGCACCCTCCAGGGCTGCTCAGGGCTGCATGGGGAGCGTTCAGAGCCGGCGGGGGCAGTGTGGTGCGCTGACCCCTGCAGCCTCTGTGCAGAGGCCGGGCCTCTCTGAGCCTCATTATGGGAAAACTGCAGTGACACAGCGCTGGTAGGCTTGGCGGAGAAGCCGCGAGCTGGTAAGGGCGGGCTTCGGGCGGGCCGACCCCGAGGCGCTCCCTCTGCTCTCCTGGGGCTGGGAACGCGAGCGCCCCCACCACAGACCCCCTGGGTGCTTGGCACCCTCCAGGGCTGCTCAGGGCTGCATGGGGAGCGTTCAGAGCCGGCGGGGGCAGTGTGGTGCGCTGACCCCTGCAGCCTCTGTGCAGAGGCCGGGCCTCTCTGAGCCTCATTATGGGAAAACTGCAGCCGTGCGTGTTTCAGTGGGGTTGTTGGAGGGCTTGGCCCAGCTAGCACTGACCCCTGACCTCAGAGGGGACTTGCAGCTTCTCTGAGCGCAGTTTCCTCATCTGGGGTCAGGGGTCACGGCGCTGGTGTCCTTCCATTTCTGACTCCAGATACCCCTGTGTGGAGTGGGAGCTCGTGGTCCCTCTCTTCATCTGGATGAAGAAACTGAGGCTGGGGGCTGGGGCTGGTCTTGCCCGGGGACCCTCAGCTGCGAAGGGAGGGGTGGTGGTGGACCTGACCTCCATCCTAGAGGACCTGGGTGGACCAGGGAGGTGGGGGGGGGCGGGCGTGGGGCTTTCCAGGCAGAGGGGCAACAGGGGGAGCCCAGGACACTGTGAGGAGGGAATGGAAGGGTTCCAGTTATCAAATGAGGTGGGGACCCTGGGGTCCTTTGTTGTGGGTGGAGACATTGGTGGACTCTGGGTCGGGGCCCTGACCACTGGGGTGAGCGATCCAGCTCTGTTGAGCCTCAGTCTCCTCCTCTGACCTGGACAGGCTGTTGCCTCCCCTGGGGGGGGCATTGTCCCAGCAAGGTGGTTCTGCCAAAGGATGGCCATGAGAGACACAGCAGGAGACAGGGGGCAGTCAGGGACAGAGCCCAGGACACGGCAAGAGGGAGGGCGGTGGGGACTGGCAGGGACTCAGCCAGCCTCTGCCAGCCTTGCCTGGAGGTGCCCAAGGAATGAGCACCCCAACTTCCTTCCTGCCTCTCACCAGAGCCCGCTGATGGCCAAACCCAAGTGGCAGGGGAATCCAAAGTGTGGGGTGCAGGGGGGGACCTCCTGTCCGAGCAGGATGGGAAGGGCAGGGACCTCTGAGGGGCCAGGGGCCCCCAGCTCCAGAGCTGCCCTGTCCCATCCCCGGGTGCTGATGTGTGCTCCTCTGGTTCAGAGGGGCATCCGGCACCTGTGGACCCTTCACCTGTCCTCCCACCGAGAGAGGAAGCTGCTCCTGCAGCAGCAGAAGGACATCGTCTCCGTGCAGAGGTCCGCGGCCCTCCTGCAGCAAGAGCTTCAGGACCGGACCCGCCTGCCTCAGGTGGGCGTTCTCACCCGGCCTGGGGGCTTGGCTCGTGGCCGGAAACGCTGCTCACTGGCCGCTTCCTGGGCACGTGCAAGTCCTGTGTAAAACACCCGTGACCCAGGGTGGGAAGGGATTCGGGAGGGTTGGGCCAGAGGGGTGGCAGCTGCTGCGGGGGCCGAGGGGGCTTTCCTGGACTGGGCTGCCTGGCCGGGCCCGGAGGAGGAACCAGACTCCCCGGGGCTGGAAAGTGCTCTGGCCCAGAGGTGGGGAGCTTAGTGAGCAGGGTTGGGGCAGTGTGGAGGGGGCTGGCGGGGCCGGTGGGGGTGAGGCAGGAAGGAGGGAGAGGCCCGGGCCCCTTGAGAGGCTGGCCCCTCGGGAGCTGAGTGGCGGTGTGTCCTTGCTCCTGCAGCCTGTCCCCGCCGTCACAGGGAGGAGGCGGTGAGGACAAGGCCGGGCGCCCGTCCCCAGGCCGAGCATCTCTCCCACAGTTTGGGGATGGTGACTGTCTCACCTGGCGGGCGGCGGAGGGTGGTGAACTGGGTTCTGCGGAGCAGCTGGGGTAGTTTAGCGGTCATCCCAGTCATCCCAGGCCAGCCTGCAGGAGAGGGGCCCAGGGCTGCCGGATTCCACAGCCCCCACCTCTGTGGGTTCCACCCCGGTGACCCAGGCAGCCTCAGGCAAGGGCCCCCCAGCTCTGGGCCTCTTGTCTGCACCGTTGGGGACTGTTAGCAACGGACCGTGGGGCTCCCATGAGTTGAGGACCCCTGTTTCAGCCAGCCCACTGCCTCCTCACTGGAGCAGGCTGCCCGCCGAGCTGCGGGCTGCCCTGCCGTGGTGGCCGCCGCATGAAGCCGCCTCCTGCTTTTCCTAAGGGGAGGTGGACCAGCTCGCTCTGCGCTGTTTCTCTTAGAGTTCCAGCCCTGAAGTCAAGGCCAGGCAGGAGGAGGGCCCCGGGACAAGCCCCCAGCAGCCGGAGGGGCCAGCCCAGGGCTCCTCCCATGCCTGGCACACGCCTGGCAGCCCCCTCGGCCAGCACCCGCAGAGGAGCGAGAGCCCGCCAGTCCCGCAGTGAGTCGTCACGGGCGGCCCTGGCCCTGGCGCTTGCCATTAAAAGCCTTGCCTGCTGGGTGGCCGTGCTGTCCCAGCCGCTGGGCCCTGCGCACCTGGCCACGGGGAGGCGGGGTGGGGATGCTGGAGGACGGGGAGCGGGCTCCTGCCCCACCGGCTGGCCCACGGGGCCGGCGGCGGAGGCCAGGACCTCCCTGGCCCGCTGGGAGAAGTGCAGGGGTTCGCTCATTCCCAGCTGGGCCACTGGCGGGGGTGTGTCCTCCCTGCTCATCAGCTGAATGGGGACAGGGTGCCACCATCCCCAGGGCTGCTATAGGGCACAGTGACACGGGTCAGGTGGACCGACCTGGGTGGGTGGTGTGTGCGTGGGACCCCCTAGCTGCCAGGCACCCCCTTTCGAGGCTGGCGTGGGCTGTTCCCCCGGCCGGGGTGGCTTGGCCTTTTCTGGAAGCCTGGATGCGGGGCCATGGCCTCAGCTTGCAGCCAAAGACCCCCCAGGGCTGAGTCGTCTGGGGCAGGGGGCAGAGTCCTGGCTGTGGATGGGAGCGGAGCCGCTTTATTCCCATCAAGAGTGTCCTGAGGACCCCGCTCTGGGACCCCTCCTTCTCTTCCGTCTTCATTACAATGGCCCTTGAGAGCCCACGAGGCCCCCTTTCCTCCTAGCAAGCTCCCAGCTCCTCCCCTGAGGGTTGGCCGCCTGCCAGGCTCTAACCTGAGCGCCCCCACCCAAAGCCGCAACCTGGGGCTGAGGCCGCAGAGGTGACCCCCAACCCTGGGAAGGGGCTGACCCCTCAAGAGTGGCCTTCTCAGGCCCCCTGCCTGCCCCTGGGGGTACCACTGCCGTCCAGCGGCTCCTTCCGGCAGGGGGGCCCATTTTCATGCCTCTCCCAGGAAAGGGGGTCATCGCACACTTGGCCCTGGGCCCTCTGAGAGCGCTTTTCACACGCTGATCTGTAGTTCACGTGGCTATTGATCGCCCAGCCCAGGAATCTCTGACAGGCTTCTTGGCTGACCGGACCGGACCCTCTTGGTACCAGGAGTTTGTTTATGGCGCTGGGGCTGGCTGCTTGCCCCGAGGGTGGGGGGTGTGTCCTGAAGTCGAGGTCCTGGCGGGGCACGAGGCTCCTCATCACAACAGTGATGCGAGTCAGAAACCAGAGAAGAGCTGTGTGTCTATGAGGGAGGCTTCAGAGGCCTGGAACCTCCCTGGGAGGTCCTGCCACCTGGACAGACTGCTTCCTACTTTTGTTCCCTCAAGAGAAGTGCAGCGGAGTGCTGAGCTGCTCAGGGCTGGGACGCATCCCTGATCCAGGGCCTGTGGGGGCCCTCACTGCCCTGGCTGGGGGCTCCGGCCTGAGACCCTGTGTGCACTGGCAAGGGCTGGGGGAGGGACGGTACCTCTTTAAGGAGGTGGGGGCGGGGCGTCCCATTCCGGTTCAGGTTTTGCCGTCCAGCGGCTCCTTCCGGCAGGGGGGCCCATTTTCATGCCTCTCCCAGGAAAGGGGGTCATCGCACACTTGGCCCTGGGCCCTCTGAGAGTGCTTTTCACACGCTGATCTGTAGTTCACGTGGCTATTGATCGCCCAGCCCAGGAATCTCTGACAGGCTTCTTGGCTGACCAGACCGGACCCTTTTGGTACCAGGAGTTTGTTTATGGCCCTGGGGCTGGCTGCTCGCCCCGAGGGTGGGGGGTGTGTCCTGAAGTCGAGGTCCTGGCGGGGCATGAGGCTCCTCATCACAACAGTGATGCGAGTCAGAAACCAGAGAAGAGCTGTGTGTCTACGAGGGAGGCTTCAGAGGCCTGGAACCTCCCCGGGAGGTCCTGCCACCTGGACAGACTGCTTCCTACTTTTGTTCCCTCAAGAGAAGTGCAGCGGAGCGCTGAGATGCTCAGGGCTGGGACGCATCCCTGATCCAGGGCCTGTGGGGGCCCTTGCTGCCCTGGCTGGGGGCTCCGGCCTGAGACCCTGTGTGCACTGGGAAGGGCTGGGGGAGGGACAGTACCTCTTTAAGGAGGTGGGGGCGGGGCGTCCCATTCCGGTTCAGTTCTGCCAGGTTCTGGGCCAGGCACAGCCCCTTCCGGTCCTCTGCATCCTTCCCCCAGGGCGGGCCGGGCCCTGCATCTGGACACACTGGTGCGGACAGGTGCCTGCTACTTCCTGCCCCACAGGTCAGAACTCCAGCCCCCCGAGATGTCTCCTCCTTCGAAAGCCCGAGACCCAGTTTCTCGGCTACGATGGCCCTCTGACCCCGCTCCCCAGTCCACACCTTGCCATGGGTGCCAGTCCCGGGGAGGGGGACACTCAGGGCTGCCCTGGGGGAACAGCAAGCTGTGCCCAGTTGCAGTGCGTGCCTGGGAAGAAAGGGAACGGAAGGAACACCCTGCTGCACCTGAGAGCGGGGGAATGTTCTAGAGCAAGGCTCCCTGTGGGCATGACCTTAAACCCAGAAGGAACCAGGAAACCTGGCAGTCCTGTTCCCAGGCCCCCGCCTTGGGGCCACGATGGGGCGCTTTTCCTGCCGTCCGTGTGCCTGGAGCTCAGGTGGGACCCAGGCACGTTGAGTGCTGCCCTCGGGCTGGGGGGTCGGGCTCCATGCAGAGGTCCTGAGGGAACAGGGGCACAGACAGAGTCTCCCTCCCCACACGCCCCCTGCCACCCCCAGCAGTGGTCCCGTTTAGGGGTGCAGGCCCTGCTCGAGAAGCTGCCGGGCAGGGAGGGGCCAGGGCCCACCTTCCTCCTGCCGGTGCTGACCGCTTGGCCGCTGCATGCAGCTGTCCCCTGGATGTGAGGTGCTCTTCCACTGGTGGAATGTTCTGGTCAGGGCTGGCCACCTGGGANGGTGCTCTTCCACTGGTGGAATGTTCTGGTCAGGGCTGGCCACCTGGGAGTGGGGGGCAGCCGGGTGAGCAGTCACCCCAGCCTACCCTGCACTGCCTTGCAGCCGACTCGGCGAGCTGCAGGACGGGACACCCCCTCTGGCAGCTTCAGCTGCGGACGGTCACCTGCAGCCTCCGAGGCTGGCGTGGGACGAGGATGCACCCGCAGCGGCTGGCCGACCTGATGCCGGAGGCCAACCCCTGGGGAGCCACGGCCACACGGGCCAAGGTAACCAGGCGGGGCGGCAGTGGTGGCAACTGAGGACAGACGCCACCCCCTCGGGGGCCCCGGCAGCTCATGCCCGCTTCGGGCTTGCGGTCAGCTCAGGGTCAGACAGGCCTACATCCCGCTGGGCCTGGCTGGAGCTGTGTGCTCGGGACGACCCGGCCTCCCTGTCCCTGTGTCTGGGCGCTCAGGAGGGCTGACTTTACAGATGGTGGGGGCTGGCCGGGGTGGGAGAGGCCACTCAGAGCAGCCGCTCCTCCTCCTGGCGATGCGACAACTCAGAGCAGCCAGCTGAGCTGTGGACGGTCGCCAGGCTGGCTCCCAGAACCTCAGACCTGCCCGAGAACACCCCAGGACATGCTGCCCGACTGAGTCCAGATGGTCGTGACGCTGCCTCCACCGAGGGTGGGAGCAGGGGCCCGCCAGGCCTGCCCCAGGCTCAGGGCTGGGCAGGCTCTTGGGTCACTCAGGCCTCCCGGCAGGGGACCTGTCCAGACAGGGAGCTAGACGTGCCCCCAGGCCGTCCCCATCTCCCGCGCTGTAACCCCCAGCCCACAGACACCCCAGGGAGCCCCTAGAGCAGCTGGTGTGGCCCCCACGTCTGGCAGGGCGCCCCATCCAGCTCCTCCCCCGCCCCTCTGTGCAGTGAGGGGCCTGTGCCCTGGCAAATTACCCAACATTGGTGGCTTAAAAGGACAGAAACTTCCTGTTTCTCAGTTCTGAAGGCCACAAGCCTGAAATCCAGGTGTAGGCAGAAGGCCCTCCCCTCCTTTTCTAGTTTCGGGGGCCTCCAGGCCTCCTTGACTTGTGGTGTGTCTGCATCTGCAAAGACCCTAGTTTCATATAAGGGTTTGCAGGCACTGAGGGTTAAGACTTGGACCTGCCTCTTAAAGGGACAGCTTGCCCTCCACCCCGTCCCCTAAAAAGCCCCGTGACTGGAAGCCCTGCTCTTAGCAAAAACTGCATCCCTGCTGACACAGGTTTGCCGATTTCTCTGCACTCTCCAGGCAGTGACACTAATGTAGAGGAGGTTCTGTAAGCAGAGAAGAGGGGGCGAGGGGGTGGGGGATGAGTTGCAGGGGGGCTCGGAGACCCTGCTCACTGAGCTTCGCCGGCCCCCAGGGTCACCCTGGGGAATGACTCAGAACCCCAGGGTGCCCTGGAACACCGTCTGGGAAGCACAGGGAGGAATGCTGAGGGGTCTGTGCAGACAGACCCGCTGGGCAAGCGAAGGAGAGGAAGGTGAGGAGGGGTTAGGAGTGCGGCGCTGGGGTCCCAGGAAACAGTGGGGCCTGGGCGCTTGTGGGACTGGTCTCTGAAGACGGAGGGGCAGGAGGACTGGAGCGTCTGTGAGACCCTTCCTGGGAGACCAGCTCTGCTTGCTCTGCAGGTCCGGGGGTTCCCCCATGCTGTGGAGGGCTCTCCCCAGGTTCTGGGGCCTCCCCTCGAGCACTGAGGGCTCTCCCCAGGTTCTGGGGCCTCTCCTCGAGCACTGAGGGCTCTCCCCAGTTCCTGCCCCCTCCCCTCGAGCACTGAGGGCTCTCCCCAGTTCCTGCCCCCTCCCCTCGAGCACTGAGGGCTCTCCCCAGTTCCTGCCCCCTCCGCCCCAGCTCTGGAGGGCTCTGTCGGAGGCTGGTGGAAGCCACCGTGTACGGGTTTGTATGTCTTTTAGAGCCAAGGGAGCAGCCTGATGTCCCTCTGCCGGGCCTTCCGCGGGCGACCTCCCTGGACACAGGATGGCCACCAGGCCCAGCCTTTCCTGTACGCACACCCCCAGAAAGCCCTTTCACCTCTTTGCCCAGTTGGGGGGACCCTCCCCTGTTCTGCCAACCTGCGCCTGATCTTGGTGGGGCCCCGGGCTCAGTTCCTGTCCTGATGGCTGGTCCTCAGCGCCCTCCCCGCAGGTGGCTCCTGCAGGATGGCTATCTCCCGTCCCCACTTGTATACACAGGCGGGCGACGTGGAGGGGAGCCTTCCTGCCGCTCAGATCTGCTTCCTGCCGGTGAAGGAGCCACCCCCGGGTAAGTCCTCCCATGCGTGAGCCTTGCCAGAAGCTCCCCCAACCGGCTGTGTCCCCCCCCAAGGCGGTGCCAGCCCCCAAACAAGGACAGGGAGGTCCGGGGGAGACCACCTGAGGCCTGGCACAGGTGGGAGATGCCCCTGCCCTGTGCCTCTTGGGGTGATGTGGCCCTTTTCTGCTGGAATGGAAAACCCTAGCCTGCTCTGCTTGTGGTGGTCCCAGCTTGGTTTACCTGGTCCAGACCTTTAGTGACGTGGGAACTCGTGTGCCAGAAGTGTCTTCTTAGCTAAGGAGAGCTTTTTGCATGCACTGATTCCCAGGGTGGAGCAGACTCATTCACAGCTCTGGGGATCCCCAGTGGTGCGTTGGGGACAGCAGGTTGGACAGCCCAGGGTGGGGCGTCCCGGGGCCCCGCCTTGTCTCAATGCCCTGGTGCCACCTTGGAGCTCACCTCTCAGGCCTGAGTCCACGTCTTGGGCTTAGAAGCCCCTCTCAACAGCCACCCTCGGGAGCGTCAGAGAAGTTGTTCAGACCAGCCAGTGTGTGTGCCTGGGGGCTCCCTGTGGTCTGGCCTGGGAGAGCGTCCTCAGGACAGATCAGGGCAGATGGGAGGAGGCTGGAACTGCCCTGGGGCATTGGACTACCTGAAGAGCTCGTGGTGGAGGTCCAGGACTGGCGCTGGCTCTGTCTGACCTGGCACTGGGCCTGCCAGGGCCCCCTGGGTGATGCCCTGTCACAGGCCTCCAGCTCGACCCACAGCACCTTGCCCTTGCGGCTTCCCCGGTGGCTCAGTGGTGAAGAATCCACCTGCCAAGCAGGAGACGCAGGTTTAATCCCTGGGTCGGGAAGACCCCCTGGAGAAGGAAATGGCAACCCACTCCAGTGTTCTTGCCTGGGGAATCCCATGGACGGAGGAGCCTGGTGGGGTACAGGCCACGGGGCCGCAGAGAGTCAGACACTGCTCAGTGACTAGAGAGCAAAGCAAGCGTGGCCTTCACCGTGGGCCGCGGACTAAAGGGAGGCGTTCCCGTTGGTGGAGCTTCCACAAATCCAAGCTTTAGCCAAAGAGCTCTGGTCCCCTCGGGCCTGTGGCCTTGGGACTGACATGGACCCCCGGGCCTTGCTGTCCCTGCCGGGTCCCAGCGTGGACTGGACGTGTAGGAAGATGGTAAGTCCCTGGGGCTTCTTGGCAGAGACCCCACTGCAGCCCCCCGCCCCCACTTTGCCGGCCTTCCAGCTGTGCGGTGGTTGCTCATGGTCTCTGTACCCGCTAGGAGACCCCCAGACCGGCCCCAGCCCCCAGCCGGCGGAGGAAAAGACCCGGGCTCTGACGGGAAGCCCAGCATCACACTTCCAAGGCCAGAGTCGACCCTCCCTGAGCGCAGGGTGTCCCCACGGCCCCCAGGAAGCCCGTGTGAGTCTGGGCCTGGCCCTGCGCTCTCTGCGGGCCAGGCGGGGGCCCCTGGTCCATCAGATGCAGGCTGTTGACGGGTGGGATCTCTGAGCCTTCTCAGGGGAATCTTGTCTGCTGACAGGTCTCTGGAGCTCACTGGGAGGAGGGACGTCTGATGGGTGGGTCTTTGTGGCCCTCTTTGGGGGGCGGCCTTTGTTCCTTTCTGTGGTCACAAGAACACAGGGGCTCTGTCCACAGCTAAGGGACACGGCCCGAGGTCCAGCAGAGGCGGCCCCACCCTGACCGTGGCGTCTCTCCATGGTGTTTCCAGCAGGTGGCTGAAGGCGGCGGGAGTCCCGCGGGGTTGGAACCGGGGCTGGACTTTGCCGGCATCCCCGTGGAGGGTCCTGCCACTGTGGAGGCTGCTCAGAGCTGCTCAGGGGAGCAGAGGTGTGGGGGGCCTGGAGGGCGGCTCGGGCTGGGGGGGCCCTGGGGCCTGGAGACAGTTTGGCCAGAGCATCCTGCCCTCTTGCTGGGGGACACTCACCCGCTCCTGGTGCCCTTCATGCTGGGCTGGGGCTGCTATGCACCCCAGCCCACCCACGTGCCCTCTTGAGTCTGACCCCCCAGCTTAGGAAACAAATACGCCCCCTGGTATGTCGGCCCAGGGTACTGGATGGGGGCAGCTGTAGGGGTCCCTCGAGGGAGCGCTGCCTCTGGATCTCTCTGATGGTGACTCCCAGTTGCCTGATCCAGGGGGGGACCGAGGCCAGAAGCCCCTGTAGACCCCGCTGGGGGAGCCCTGGCCTCTGACAGTCACTTCCGCTGGGGGACAGACAGCTGGCAGGCAGGTGCTTTAAGCATCTGCAGTGGCTGAAGGCCCCCTGTGGAGGAGACTCTGGGCCCGAGGGGTTTGGCTGGAAGATGGGGCTCCCTCTGGGGGCACCCCAAGACTTCACACTGGGCTTTCAGGGTAGAGACCTGTCCGCAGGAGAACCCCCACACCCCTTTCTTCTGCCTGGAAGCTGCCCCACCGACCTTGTCTCCTGGTGACGCCCCCACCACTTCAAGGGCCCCGCTCTTACATGAGGACCAGTCCCCAGGTAATGGACCAGCTTTCCAGTCAGAGCCAGCCCACTCCACGGCCCCTGCCCTCCCCACCACCTGGGCACTCTGTCTCCGCCTGGGGTCTTCTGCTTTTGATCCATCAGCTTGGGGGCTGTGGGATATGGGCTGTGTCCTTCCCAGGGTTGGCGGAACATCCTCAGCGTAAAGGTGGTGACATCATACCTAAACTCTTTCTCTGCAGCAGCTGAGGTGGTGGCACCCCCAGCCCTGCACGAGGGTGGCCCCCCGGCCGGGCTCATGGCCCCTTGGGACCTGGGCTCCGAGTCCACCCCCAGCGCCTGCTCAGAGGCGTCTTCTCCATGGTCCACTGCCGCCTCCTCGGGGAGCCTCCCGTCCTGCCCTTCCCTCCAGGAGTTTCAGAAAGCATCCGCCATCCTGGTCCAGCTTTCCGAGAGCCCCACCTCCCTCTCGGATGGGGAAGCCAGGGGCACTCCAGACACAGACCTCAGCTGGGCTGGGGGGCTCCCTGCTCTGGACTCCTGGGAGTCCTACCGGGGTGGAGGGCCGGAGACCTGGGGGGGGCTGGAGGGCACTGAGGCCCTTTCCGGGCACAGCTCTGGCACTGGGGTGGGTGGCCTGGCTCTGGCAGGGGGTCTCCCCGTTGCCCAGTCTCTGCAGTCAGGGTTGGAGCGGTCCGAGTTGTCCAGCGAGGTCTGGGGCTGGGAGAGCCCACGGGGCCCTGGCGCCGGTGCGGGGCCAGTCCCAGGGCGCTGCTTGCCTGTAGGACATGCATCCCACTTGGAACAGGCGGGGGTACCCCTTGCCCTGCCTCCCGTCCTGGGCTCAGGGAAGGGGCGGGAAGATTCTGGAACCAGTGGGAGCGCGACCAGTGGATCAGACACAGGAAAAGCTCAGCGGCGGTCCCGGGAGGCTGCAGGAGCAAGGCTCCCATCCCAAACCTCTTCCTCGGGTGATTTACACTTGACCCTTTCCTTCCCCTCTGGGACCTCGGTCTCTGAGTTTGGCCAAAGAGGAGAAACAGTGCCTCCGCAGGCCTCGGGTGGCTGCCCAGAGGGGCTCCGGGGCACTCATCCGAGCCCTTCCACTGATGGGAAACCTGTTCGGACCTCCTCTGAGCCTGAGGTCCTCTTGATGCCAGGGGCTCCTCCTGGGGACCCCGGTGGGCAGGCAGCCCAGACAGCTGAGGGCTGGGCCCCTGGGTGTGGGGGAAGCAGAGCCCCCCCTGTCCTGAAGGAAGCCTGCACTCCTCTGGCCGGCGGCGTCTTACCTGAGATCCTGTCCCCGATGGGCGAGGCGCTGTCCCAAAGCAGCTTGGACCTCCCGCCCTCCACCCAGAGGGACGCTTGCCTCCCTCCTCTGCCTCCCACCCTCCCAGCGGATGGGGAGGCCGACCCTGCCAGCCCCCACTCAGAAGACTTCCCTACCCCGCCCGAAGATGCTGTGTGTCCTGGGGTCTCACTGGACACCCCAGGGGAAGCTGCCTCCCTCATTATGGGAGAGTGGTCCTCCTTGTCTGGGGAGGGTCTGTCTGAGTCACCGTCCCCAGGGCCCCAGGAGGAGGCCAGGCTCTGCCTCGGGGTGGCAGGACAGGGCAGAAGCCTTGGGGAAGTACTGGGTGAATCAGGTTCTGTTGGGAGGGACCAGGCCATGGACAGCCGGTTGTCTGAACCAGTCAGCTTGGGGTCTCCCTGCTGTGGGGGAGCAGGGGATGCCCCGGGGTGGCTCCCAGTGCTGTCAGCGCAGCCCCTGACCCTGTCTGGAGTGGCCTGTGCGTCTGTGGAGAGTCTGGTGGCTGGGGACCCAGGGCTGCCTGGCTCAGGGCAGGGGGACCCTGCTCTGGCTCTGGGTGCCGGACCGCATGCTGCCCTGCCGGGCGTGCAGAGAGCCGAGGTGGTGGGCCTGCTGTCCGCCCAGCTCAGCAGCAGGGTTCTGAGGGACGCCCTGGCCGTGCTCTCGGAGGCAGCCCCAGCAGGCAGCCCGGCGGCCGAGGGGCCCAGCCGGGGCACGCGGGCTCACACGGCAGCCACTGGGCAGTCGTGGGGAAGGCTTGACTTCTGAGAAGACGGGGCAGTGGCGGGGGGCTGTGGGGACACAGACGTTGTCTGCGAGAGCCCCCTGCCTGGCTGGCCATCGAACGAGGCCTCCTAGGCTCAGCGAGGTCCTGGACACGTTGCGATGTGACTGTGTGTCAGCACGTGCGCATGTGTGAGCGAGCCGGGGGCGTCAGGAAGCCTAGACTTGCCCTGGGTGGGGCCACCTGTGGGCGGCTGGCTGATACAGGGCCATCGAGTGGATGTCAACTGCAAATTGGCTCTGACCCAGAGGTTAAGGTCAAAGGGTGTGTGGGACGCATGCAGAGCTGGCCGGCCAAGAAAAGGTGAGGAGGTCACCTACTGGAAGGAGACGGTCCCAAGGAGAGGGGCTGGGAGCAGCCCCCCAGGGTTGCACCTAGAGACCACGTGTCAGGATGGGTTGCCGTGGACCTCAGGAGGGGCCGAGAGGATGAGAGCGCAGCTTTGGGGGGTCGGGGAGGCCAGATGCTGAGGCTGGGGGTTAAGTCTGCACTGACACGCCCTCTCAGATTTGCCTCGTTAGGAAACCGTCAGTGGGAATGTTTGCCTGCCTCTGATTTCTGAAGGATAAACCTGGTGCCTCCACGGCGTCCAGCTGGTGACTCCGGGCTGGGAGGTCTGTGTGCGTCCCCTTGTGCAGATTAGAGGAGGCAGCAGCTCGGGGAGAAGTTCATTTCGCCGGCGGCCAGGTCACCCTCCGCCCGGCCTCTGGGCTGGAGTGGACCCCCGCCTCCCTGAGGGTGCTTAGGATGCCTCCCGGAAGAAATCAGAGCCCCTTGCCAGGCTGGCCGTCGAACGGGCCCTCTAGACGCAGCAAGGCCCCGGTGGGTTCCAGAGGCGGTGGCGTATGGGTTCCTGCACAAGGCGCTCCTGCAGGGACGGCCTCGCAGGTGTCCCCTTGCGAGAGCGCCTGTCCCCCTCAGCACCAGACTCAGGCAGGCGTCCAGGAAGTTGATGCCCAGCCAAGCACCAGGAGGGTTTCCCGTGGGAAGGAAGTGGGGAGAGGCTGAGACGGGAGGACGGGGCGAGACCGCTGGGCGCTGGCCGACGGGGACATGGGTCTCAGTAGACTGGGCGGGGGAGCCCTCGGGCCACCTCGGGGTGAGACCAGGGCAGCTGACCTTCAAGGCCGAAGGTCAGGCCGCTGCAGCACTGACCTCTGCCCGCAACCACCCCACGAGCAGCTGATGGACTCTGAGGGGTCCCTGCGGCCCCCTCGTCCCCCAGAGCCGTGCGGAAGCACCATTGCCAGGGCACAGGCCGGTTCAGCCTGCCCCCCCCCCCCCCCCCCCCCCCCCCCCCGTGTCCTGTCGCCTGTTCCCAAGCCTTGTCTGCAGCTACCCCGCCTTCCCCAGGAGGAGAAGAAGGCTGCATCGTGTGTGTGTTGGTTCTAATGCGAGCGCATCTCTGAGCTGGTGCTCCAGGGAATTCACTGGAAACCAACACTGTCTTCTCAACGCCCCTGCTCTGTCCCTGTCCTCGTGGGGCTGGCTCATTTCAGTGTTGTCAGTCTTTCTCTCCTGAATTGTCATCTGCGCACTTGGAGGAGAAGTAGCTTTTCCGCGAGCCCAACAATCAGCTCTTTCATAAAAGGGAGCAGGGGCTTCACTGGTGGTCCAGTGGTTAGCGCTTTGTGCTTCCTACCAGGGCGGGGTGCTGGGGTGGGTTCAATCCCTGGTCGGGGGACTGAGATCCCACATGTCACACAGCGTGGCTGAAAATTAAATAAAAGGAAGCAGCTTTCAGATTGGCTTCTAAACTTCTGACGTGGTTAGGATTTCTTGAGATAAGGCTCACTTACGCTGCGCTTGATCTCTCAGAAGTTACTCCCCGTGTCCTACGGCAGTCTCTCTCACTGCCTGTCGTCTAAACCATCCATCAGTTATCCATATGGGCTTCCCAGGTGGTAAAGAACCTGCCTGCCACTGCAGGAGACACGGGAGACCTGGGTTCAATCCCTGGAAGATCCCCTGGAGGAGGACATAGCAACCCACTCCAGCACTCCTGCCTGAGAGATCCCAAGGTCAGAGGAGCCTGTCAAGCTACAGTCCATGGGGTCACAAAGAGTCAGACGTGACTACACACACGTCACTTATCTACCTATCATCTATTTATTGTCTATCCATCATCTATCATTTATATCATCTATCAGTTGTCTACCTGTATCAACTATAGCATCTGTCCAGCCATTTCTAGTTCTCAAATTGGAAAATACCTGCTTGACAGGGAGTCCAGAGTCAAGCAGTCGGCGGCGTGTTGGCCTAAGGGACATCGATGTCCTGGTGCTGGTCCAGGATCTGACCCCCGTGAGGTCCTGGGAAGTCAGCTGTCAAGTCAGAATGACAAGAACTCCTCTCCTGCGGCCCTCACTCCACTTTAGGAGAGGAACTCATTCACTTAGCATTTATAGGACCCAGGGGAAGAGATCCAGACTTTCCAGTACTTGTCATTTAGAGTGGGCGGCGTGTCCAAAGCTGGCCTGGCAAAGCCTCCAGGTGCTGCCTCTCAGACCCCCGTAGAAGCCTGCAGGCCAAAGCAGGAACCGCCTACCACTGTCTCCAGGCTCCAGCCTCTGGGGCAGCTCACCGGCCCAGCCTGCATTATACCCCAGCTCACGCAGGACAGGATCACGGTCCTGGGGAGCAGCAATCACAACAACCCATGTTGACTCGACACCCGATCTTCCCAAGCCCGCCTGAGAGCCCAGAAGAGGTTTGGGCCCACTGGGGGAAAATGTGTGTGCATTCTCCACCTACACAATTTCAGGACAAATTTTGAGCTACAGCTTTCTTATTGATTTTCCCCTAGTTTTCTGAACAAATTAGTCTATGATTTTTTATTTCTTTTTTCTATTTATCGCTGACCCTTTTGGATTTACGAGGCTGTGTGAGAGGAATTATGTATTTTACACACATCACGTTCGGTCATAAATCTCCCACATCAAAACCTGGCAGATTTGCCTCAGATTCGATAGTCTTGGGTCTGGCCGCTGCGGGCAGGGGCTGATAGCTGGGCACCAGGCGTATGGCCATGGCCGCAGCTGGACTTGAGGCCTCCTGGGTGCCCAGCATGCCCGTGTGTCCCTGGAGTCACTTTGTGGCCCCGTGGCCCCTCGCCCTTGAAGGGAGTCTGGTCAAGGAGGACTTGTATGAAGACCCTGGCCTTCGCCTTCCCATGAGAGCTGGATCCAGGGAGCTTGGGGTTATCCAGTGACTGGCCAGAGGAGGAAGACTGTCCACCGAAGCTATCGGACGTGCTTAATCTCCGCCGACGTTACGTATGTGGAGCTGAGGGCTGTGGCATTCAGATATATTGACCCAAAGCGAGACTTCAATTTCAAGATTGCTCCCTCCAAGGTCTCACCGTGCTCGCCTTGGCTCCAATCCCTGTAACCTCTTGGGCCAATAAATCTTGATACCAGCCTCCAGAGAAGTCATTATCTTTCATAGAAAATGATTATTTCTCCGTTAAACCCCGCACGGAATTTTCCCGTGATCTGTCTCCATCAGCCTCCCCCCTCAGCTGTTCCCTCCTGCGTCAAACGCCCAGGACCTCACCCCCAGCGCCTTAAACTCCAATCGCCAGACGAGCTTTACGAGTCCTTCTGATGCCTGGCCCTGCGCAGCCCTAACAGCCTCACCGTAAAATACAGACGAAGGCCATGGCAGCAGCTGGGGGAGGCCGCACGCCCGCAGGAGCCCGCGGGTCCTGTTAGAGGGAGCCCTCCCCGCCCCCGTGTGGGGGCGCCTGGCTCCCGCAGGGTGGGAGGTGAGCGCGCTGGCCCTCCGAGGGAGCTGGGCCACCGGTCAGGTTCGCCTGCAGCTGAGGGACAAGGCCGTCCTGCGAGTGCTCGACAAGCGGCATCTTAGCACTGGCTCCCCCGCAGCAAGAGGTCCCAGAGGGTCTGCAGGTCCCACGTCTGTCCCCCGTCCCATGTCCCAGCCACCCACCCCACCCCAGCCGTCAACTGCCAGCCTGCTCGTCTGCCTTGGGCCCCACCCAGCGGCCCCCTTCCCCCCAGCCCTGTCTCTTAATGCCCGCCGAGCACAGCGAGGAGTAGAAGTGTTTGCAACACGTGACTGCAGGCTGAGGAGCAGGTAGGAGTCACACATGCACCGGGCACCCCAGCCCCCCTCGGGGGCTCCCTGGGCACCCCCCCGACCCGTCCTGCCGCTCACCTGCAGCAGATCAAGGGGCGTCCCCTCGGCTGTGTCGTTCAGGTGACGTGGACATTTAGCAACGCTGGGGCCAGGTCCATCTGCGCCTTTGGCTGTGGCAGGGATGCCCACACCCGCGCCTCCATGACTGCAGTCCCTGCCCTCTTCATGGCATCATTGTGAGGACACAGAGGCCTGTCCCCGCCAGGCTCCGTCCCCGGCACGTGGCAAGCACTCAGGAACAATCCTCCTGTAAATTTGCTGGAGAACGGCTGGTGTCCTCAACCAGCTGAACCTGAAACCAGATGCCAGCTGAGGGGCGTGGAGGCAGCACCCACTCCGGGGCCGGGCTGCAGTGGAGTTCGCCTGCCCCTTCGTCTCCCACCCTTGTGCAGAAGCTGCCCCATGAGGGGGGGCTTGGAGAAGGGACAGCCGGCCCTGACCTCCCGGGCTCACAGCCACCCAGCGGCACACCAGCCGGCATGACGGGATGACTACCATGGGGGAGACTCAGGGTGGGAGGATGAGAGTTCTGCCTTTGTCCCGGTCAGAGGCATCAGAACAGCCCCTCCCAGGTGTCGGAGGCACCCGGGTTGGAGGTCCCTCTGCCTCTGCCACATACATTCCATGGGTCCTTAACCACTGCTCTGGGCCCTCCGAGGCCCAGATTTCCCCTCTGTAAACAAGAATGTACGTGCGTGCAAAGTCACTTCAGTCGTGTCTGACTCTTTGCGACCCCATAGACTGTAGTCCGCCAAGCTCCTCAGTCCGTGGGATTCTCCAGGCAAGAATACTGGAGTGGGTTGCCATGCCTTCCTTCAGGGGATCTCCCTAACCCAGGGATCAAACCTGTGTCTCTTATGTCCCCTGCATTGACAGGTGGGTTCTTTACCACTAGCGCCACCTGGGAAGCCCCGTAAACAGGAAAACCAATACCTTATTTCATCTAAGATGCAAAACTTCCCGACATTTTACTCCCTTTGAAATCAGCGTGCATCTCACAAATCTGAGAATTGCCTCTGGTACCTGCCGACCGCCTGGCAGCACAGACAGTTGCCCAGGTGGGTCTCAGTGCCCTGAGAGCAGGTGCCTCTCCTGCTGGGAGGAGGGGCAGATTGAGGAGGGTGTGGGGTGGGGGCACCCGGCTTCAAGCAGGGAAGTGGGGCCTGGCTAATCCGTGGAAGCCAGTGTTAACGGTTCTCGACACAACCCACCATCTCATCTGAATGCTTCTGCATGCGGCTGCACTTTGCAACCGAGGCGTGCTTTTCCTAAGAACTTTTCATTAAACCAATCGTGTGCTGCGGATTGGAGGCACTGGTGTTGTTTTCAAGGTCAGCCTCCCAGTGCTCGGCTAAGCCAGCCCATAGGCCCTCTGGCTGCCCCAGACAGCTGGGGTCCCAGAGACTCTCCCTCACGCTCCTCAGTACCTGGACGGGGAACACAAGAGCTGTTAGTGACAGTAGGGCTTACACCTGGGGCTGGGAAGGGTCACGGTCCTTCCAGGGGACTTTGAGTGTCTGCTAAGGCCTGAACTGGATGGCATCATCGACGCAATGGACGTGAGTTTGAGCAAACTCCGGGAGGTTGTGAAGGACAGGGAAGCCTAGTGTGCTGCAGTCCATGGGGTCGCAGAGTCGGACAAGACTTAGCGACTAAATGACGACAAGGTCTGAACTGTGTTCCCCACCCCCCCACCACCGAAGTCCTAAGCCCCGACGGGATGGCATTAGGAGGTTCCTTCGGGAGGTGATCAGGGTTTGATGGGGTCACGGGGGCAGGGCCCCCACCATGGGGTCAGTGACCTTACGAGACGAGACCGTGGAGACCCCTCCCTCTCTCTCCACGGGCAGCACAGAGGAAGGGCCAGGTGAACACAGGCGAGAAGCAGCCGGCTGTCTGCAAGCCAGGAATTGAGTCCTCACCAGAAACTGACCATGCCCGCCCCTGATCTTGGATGTCCAGCCTGTGAGAGACATTAATAGACGCCCATCTATGGTTTAAGCCACCAGGCCTGCGGTGTTCTCTTATGGCAGCCTGAGCAGATGGACACAGTATTCAGAAGCTAAGTCCCTCCTGCAGAGAGAAGCAGGTGTGCAGGTGACCCTAGACTCCCTCCTGATAGCCCAGCCTTGACCGCCTTTGCCAACCGTGTGCCCAGATCCTGGTCTATCTGCCCAATAATCACCATGTGACTTGTGGTCATGCCTGTGGTCAGTGGTTTGGGAGGGAGGACAGGGAGAAAGAAGCTGGGGCTGCCAGGGAGCCAACCACGCCCTACCCAGACCAGGTCCACTCGCCGCGTCCTTCCCATCCTGGATTCTCGGTCTTGATCTCTGCGTGTCCTTCCACTTTCTCCCACTGCCCTCCTGCCTCACTGCTGCTCCTTCCCGCCCCCTCCTCACCTCAGCTCTGCATCTGGAGGCCCGGGGCTCAGCGTGTGGCCAGCCTTCTCCAGTCCTCACTGCCTCCCATGGGGACCTCACCAGCCCCCACTTACCGTCTGAGCCCCATTCTCACACAGCCAACCAGTGGCCTGGTACCAACCGCAGATGGTGCCAAGGTCCGTGAAACTCAGCAGGTCCAGGGGCACTTTGGCCTCCACTCTCAGCCCTATGTTGCTCTCCCAGTGCCTCCCCTGCAGTCTTTCATCTCAGCCAAGGGTGGCTGCATTCTTTCAGCTGCTCTGGCCAAAGCCCTGCAGCAGGTGTGACCTCTCTGTCACACACCCTGGACTGAATCCACCACTCGTCCCACCTTCACATGTGTGTGAAGTCCCACCCTTATCACCAGCACTGCCGCCTGCCTCTTGGTGGAGCCCCACCATCTCTTAGAGGGCTGCGACAGCCTCTCGGGGGGCTTCCCCTCCCACCCCTTCTAGCCGGCAGTCAGAAGGGCAGAACCATACAACCCTGCTCAAAATGCTCACTTGACCACCTTTGCATTTGGGGCCAGGGCCCTCCTCTGGGGAGGCCTTGTGGGGTCCTGCTCTCAGCTGCTTCTCCAGCTCTACGCCCCCCTCCACTCGCTGCCCTTCCAGCACACTTGCCCCTTCTGCTTCAGGGCCTTTGCACGTGCAGTCCTCTGCCTGGGCTGCTTGCCTCTCTTCTTACCTCTTTCACCCACAGTCTCCCTCTCTGAGAGGACTTCCTGACACCCCCACCCCCCTACAGCAGCCCCGCCCTACTCTACTGCTTTTTACAGCACTTATCTCCACCTCGCACGCAGGCTTGTTTGTTTTGGGTCTCTCTCCTGGCCCAGTGAAGCTTGGGCTTGGCTTAGTGTCCAGGGCTTGGCGTGTAGCAGAAGCCCAGCAAGTGTCAGTGACGAATGAACGGGGAGGGGGCACACGTGTCTGCACCAGGGGGCTCTAGTTTGGATCCCCCTTAACCAGGGTTTTCTAACCTTCGAAACATAAACAACAAAACCCTTTTCAGACAAAATCTTACGCAGCATCCCACAATGCAAAGAGCAGGGGGATGACTGCATGGCTATAAAGTAGTTTGTGTTCAAATCATAGCATGTACATATTTAACTGTTGATCCCCTATGATAGCGAGGTGGCCTGGAACATGGGAACCTGAACTTCCAGGCCCACAGAGGATGGATGCTGACTCATGTCCGTTCTGTGGTCCACTTCCTTTCTTTTCTGTTTTCGGTCACACGGTTCAGAGAAAATCTGATATGAACAAAACAATTAGGAATAGCAATAGAAAAAACAGGTCTCCCGTTAAATTAAGTAAACAAATCGTAGGAAGCTTTCTTTCCTAGGTTTGCAGGGCAATCCTAGCTCTAACACATCCGCGGGGTTTGTGCAGTAAGTTTTGCAAGTTTTCTAAGAGTTGAAAATCTCAGATTAAAAAAAACAAAGTCAGGGTTGCAGACCCTCCGAAGCCCCAGGTAGGGTTGCCAGATATAACACAGGAAGCCCAGTAAAATGTGAATTGCAGTTGAACAGCGAAGCGATTTTAGTCTAAATGTGTCCCATTAAATTTGCATTTCAGGTATGATACATATTTAGACTTAAAAAAACACCTCGCTGCTTATCTGAAATTTACATTTAACGGAGCTTCCTGTACCTTCATTTGCTAAATCTGGCGACCTTAACACGGAGCGGGGTGAGGCGGTGGGCGGTTTTGGGGGGTGTCTGCGGAGCCCTTGAGAATGGGGGCGGGGCGAGAAGGGGAGGAGCCTGTGACTCGGAGGCCGGACATGAAGGGGCGGGGCCTGTGTCTCGGTGGGTGGGGCCGAGGGCTGGGCCAGGAGGCGGGGCGAGGCGGGGCAGTGCCTGGAGCTCGGGGTCCGAGGCCAAGGGGCGCCTGGGAGGCGGGGCCGAGACGCGTGGGGGCGGTACAGCGGCAGCGTGCGCAGGGCCACCGCCAACAGCTCGGCCGCGTGGCTCGTTCAGTTCTACTCCTCGTGGTGCGGCCACTGCATCGGCTACGCGCCCACCTGGCGGGCCCTGGCCGCGGACGTGAGAGGTGAGGCGCGCCTGGCGCGGGGGCCAGACCCCGGCCGCTGGCCTGACGCCTGCGACCCCCGGATTCTCTCCTCAGGTCCCTCTCCCCTGGCACTCCGCTTCGGCGCCCGCTGGCCTGCACCTCGGGTTCATCCCTCGTATGACTCCCCCACCCCATGGAGATCTGGGAAGTCGGCTGTCAAGTTAGGATGACAGGAACCCCTCTGCCGCCGCCGTCCTCACTCAGCTGGGGACACAGAGGCCTTCCCCATTTGCCCCAGCTCTCCAGACCCTCTTGTTGAGTCTCTGAGAGCTTCAGTAACCACCTCGCCCCAGGTCTTTATCCTAGCTGTGTCCTGACGTTCATCTCGGCCTCAGTAACTCCACCCCGCTGCCTGGAATCCCGGTTCTTTGAGGCTCCCCGTTTCTTTCCCGGGCTGCTTTCCGGGTAGGTCGTTCTTCATTCTCCTTCGGTTTAGAGAGCTGAGCATATATGGTGGCTACTCAGAGAGGTCCAGCTGTGCGGAGACTTGTCTGTGGAAGCAGCAAAAGACCTTCCCGCATTTCATTGGTTGGTTCCTTGTGCGTGGACACGCAGCCTTGGGCCAGTCTGTCACCCACCAAACTTCTGGTCCCGTTCCCACACCTGACTGACGCTTGGCACTTTCTCATCAGGATGTGAGTTGCTAATCAGCCGCTAAGTTCTTGGCGTGCTCTAAATTGCACAGTCGTAGCCGTTGAAGGGTGTTACAGCAGCCTTCCTACAAGCTGGCTGAGCTTCAGAAGAGAATTCGAATTGCTCTGAAGTGGGGGCCTGTCCCCGACAAGAGCAGGGTTTGCCAGGACTTTGCTGAGGCTGAGCTGGCCTCTAATTATATATTTCCGAGGGCAAGAGAGTAACAAATCGCTGGGCTCTCTTCCTGAACTGCAGTTTAACAGCCAGCCCTGTTGGGATTTTCTCATATCTAGACAGATTCCTCGTGAAACTTGAAAAAAAAGTCTAAATCGGGCTTTTTTTTTTTTTTAATCGGGCTTTTGTACTTGATTGTGTGATTATCTTTAGTGCTTCTCTTGCCTCAAGGTATTGGGACTTCTTGATTCTAAAGTATCTGTTCTTTGATCTAGTGTTTTCTTGAACTTTCACCTCTGATCAGAACTGAAGCCAGAGACTTCATGAAATGGACGGCCTGCTCCATAATAGGTGTCCTATAAGCCTTTGCTTTGTCATCAAGCAAGTACTTTTAATAATAAAAGGACTTTTCAGTTTTCTTTTGTTGTTGGGAGGCAGAAACACGGATACATAAATTTTAATGCTCATTGTTTTGGCAAGACGTCATCACCTGTTTTGTGCATATTTTGATTTTTTTTCAGCTTAGTGTATGAAATACAAAAGTTGTAAATTGGATTTGAATATTGCAAACCATATCATGGTTGAACCAGCATGTAAGGAGCCTTGGAAGTTGTCCCTGAACTCAGAAGGAAAGTTATTTTTGAGACCGAAACTATTGGTTGCCGAAGAAGTTCATTCAGATTTCTCTGTATGTTCCCAAATGCACTTTTTGGCCAGTCTAGTAGTAAAATCCATTACCTAGTGGTGTGATTAGCCTAACTATTGGCTAAACAAGATTATCTTAAGAGAGCTGGGGGCTTCCCAGGTGGCACTCATGGTAAAGAACCTGCCTGCCAGTGCAGGAGGTGTAAGAGACCTGGGATCAGTCCCGGGTTCAGTCCCTGGGTGGGGAAGATCCCCTGGAGGAAGGCATGGCAACCCACTCCAGTAGTCTTGCCTGGAGAATCCCATGGACAAAGGAACCCTGAGGTCTATGATCCCTGGGGTCTCAGAGTCAGACACGACTGAAACAACTTAGCATGCACGCCGAGTTGGGCATTCTGCAAGTGAAGGCAGGAGAAGCAGGCCTGAGACAGAAGGAGATGTGGCTGAGAGTGAAAAACAGCTGTGGCTCCAAAGATGGGGGGAGGAAGGGGGTCCTGAGAGCTGGACTGCCGGGGGCTCCCTGAGCACCAGCTCTGACTGGAGACAGAAGCAGGCGGAGCCGCAGCTCTGGGCGTGAGGCCCGGCCTCCTGTCAGCGCAGCCGCAGCTCTGGGCGTGAGGCCCGGCCTCCTGTCAGCGTAAGCCCCAGAGGTGGAGGACCCCTGACTTGGGGCCACTGACCTCGTTAGGCACTTGCAGGAGAGGGCTGAGGCTTGCGGGGGTGCAGGGGGACCCCCCCCCCCGTGGCTGTCTGCACACGAGAACGCTCCGCTAGAGGAACCTGCCCCTCGGGTCCTGAGCTCCCACCTGGCTGACCCGGGGTCCTTCCCATGCGTCACCTCTGAAGTCCCTGAGGAGTGCGTTGAGAAGAACTGCCCGCACCCTTGCTGGGGAGGCTGGTGCAGCCCCTCCGCCCAGCACCTCGCTTCTGCCAGGGGCCGTCCCGCAGGGGCAGGGGTGCCCAGCGCCCACAAGTTCCAGTCTCAGCGCAGTCATTGCTCCCACCCTCACTGCTTCAGGCCCAGTCAGTCTCTTGTGAATGGGGGGGTTCAGGGAGCCTCCCAGGACACGCAGACCTTGGCCTGGGCCCGTCAGATGCCTCTTCCCACCCCTCTTCAAACACCGTGTCCAACCTGCAAGGCTGGTCTGCCCTCCACCCCCATCCTTGACAGCAGCACGGCTTATAGAAGGCGGCTGGCTACAGTACAGCCCCTGCTCCCTGACTTGAGGCTGGGGCTGGCCACTGAGCCGGGGGAGCGCCTGCTGCCCGCCCCCTCCCCTCCCCTCCACTTGCTCAGAGTGGACGGGGGTCTGCAGGGGGCGGGGGCTCCTCCCCTTGGCAGGGCCTCTCTCTACACAGCGTCGGGGCACCTTTGTTTTCCTAAAAGATTGAGCTCTTTGCTGACATTTTTAAGATTTTGAAAATAATTGCTTTTCCTTCTATGAAGGTGGCTTAACAAACAAAAGAGGTACTGTGGGTGCAGCCAAATGTCCTTCCAGTCTTTATGTAGATCTGGCTTAGGCCCGTCACTTCTACATCCTTCACTAAACAAAACCCTACTGTGCTCTGAAAACCCTCTTGCCTGGAGCTGTGATGTTAGCTCAGTCTCTGCACCACCTCCTTTTGAGGTGAGAGCTGAAACACCTGGTGGGGGTGGGCCACTGCCCGCCTCGGAGACTTTCTCGACACGAAGTACTCCTGTCGGGGCCGCCGGGTCCTGGGCGTCTGTTCCAGCCCGTGTCTCCTCCGCTCCATCTTGGGGAGGGACAGGGGAAGGTGTTCTGTCATTGACCCTAGAATGTTGTTTTTTAAAACAAGATCATTCTTTTTTTTAACTGTAATTGTGCTTGTTTGTTCATTTTGGCTGCACTGCATCTTTGTTGCTGTGTGGGCTTTTCTCTGGCTGCAGTGCTCAGGCTTCTGCTGCAGCGGCTTCTGTCCTTGCGGAGTACTGGCTCTTGAGCACAGGCTTGGTAGTTGCATCCAAGCTGAGTTGCTCCACGGCCTGTGAGATCTTCCTGGATCAGGGGTCAAAACCATGTCTCCAGGCAGGCACATTCTTTACCACTGAGCCCCAAAATCCTTGATGAGAGACTCAGGAAAGCAGGACCGGCAGGCAGCACTGCAGCACGGCCACGCCGTCGAGTGGCAGCGGCGGGTGCCGGAGCCCCATGGTGCCGCGCCTGGCGTTTCCGGGGCTGGTCACGCCCCGCCTGCCGTGGCCGCCCGCCTTGCCTCCCATCTCGGTCACCAGCTGGTCTCCTTGTCCACGTGGCTGCAGACTTCATGCACATGTTCTAGACCAGCTGATGGTCCCCACGGCCGCTCTCTGATGGAACAGGACCCCACCTGAACCCTGGAGAGGAAGGTGGGCGGGGGCACGTCCCCCACACGGGGCTCCCCCCCGCGCTGAGACTTGTCTGTGAGACCCAGGCTTCACTGCAGCCAGACCCAGAGGGACACCGCTGCCACGTGCCCCTCCGGACCCTGAGCGGAGGAGCCCTGGTGGCGAACGTCGCTGGCTTCACGGGCGGCCAGGGGACCCTGATCTCAGAGCGGTTCCCGCCCGTGGCCTGTGCTGCGAGCCCCCGCCCCAGCCGGCAGAGCCGGCCAGCCTTCCTGTGGGTGCTGTTCACAGAGAGTGTGCCGCGACGCCTGCGGGACCACAGACAGTGCTAGCTTAAGCACACCCGCGTGCAAGCGCAGGGATGAAGCGGCTTCTGCTCCCCGGAGGCTGAGCCAGAGCGCGACTCCAGGCTGCTGGGGGGGGGGGGGGGGGGGGGGGGGTGGAGAAGGCGCGCTCCTTAGCACGTGGCTTCCTCTCTGCCCAGGCCTGTGTGTCCTGAACTTGGAGCTTGCCTGAAAGGCCTTTTGCTCGGCCTGGAGGGGCCTCGCGGGGGCCGGAGCGCCCTCCAGCGGCGCCAGCTTGGGAGCCAAGCGGCCGCGTCACCCTGACCGCCCTCCCTCCTGAGGGCGAGAGGACCGGGAGGCGGCAAGGAAGTGAGGGGCAGGATTCTCTGAAACCCAAGGGGTTAATTAATCTGAACTGTAACCGTTTTCTTCAAGTGATGGATGCTTTACCATAAGTGTGACTTGTAGACGTTCTATTAGAACTTGCCAAGTAATGGTGGGAAGTTTAATCCTGTGAAGATAAATAATATAGTTACTTGACAAGGAAACTTGAGATGAATTGTAGTCTGCTGTGTAGACATGCTTAGTTATTTCTGGTATTTTTTTTTAGTCTGTGATCCTAAAAATAGGCTTGTGAGCGGAAGTGAGGAGCACGGGGCTCTCGGCTCCCTGTGGAGGCCCTGTGCCCTGGGCCGGCAGGCAGTTGGGGGTGGCTGAAAGCGGGCGGTTTGCATTCAGTTGAGAGCGCTTCTCTCCTTTGTGTGTGAAGTCCCGACAGGTGGGAGAGGCAGGAGGAGGGGAGGGCACCAGCTGAATGAGCACCGACCCTGAAGCTCGCCCTTTGAAACGGTTTGCATTCTCCTTGATAAGACAGACTGGCTCCCTTCTGTGCTGCCGTGAAAGCCGCCATCTGCCGGGATGCCTGCGGTGGCTGTTGGTGCCGGCGTCATCGGAACCTTCCTCATCCGCCTCCTTCCCGCCCCGCACAGGCAACCTCTTTCAAAGGTGCACAAGGGCCACGTGAGGCGTCGGCAGGCCAGGCCCCAGGCCCTCCCGTGGGCCGCCGCCTCCATGGGGCGCATGTGCGGACCCCAGAGTCCTCAGCCTGGCAGGGGCCGTCCTGTCCCCGCCGGCGTGCGGCGACCTGCATGCGTCTCGGAACACGCTCTGCGTGCGCTCCCTGTCCGTGTGGACCCCGTCCTTCAGAGGGGAGGACGGACCAGGCGCAGGTGTGTCAGCAGCGTGAACAGGTGGACACGGGGCAGGGGCAGGTCCTCGGAGGGTGAGCGGGATGCTGGGGTTGGCACCAGGCAGGGCCGCTGCGCGAGGGGCCCGCCACGCAGAGGGCCAGCAGGTGCCGCGTCCAGAGGGCCCAGCCCTGACGGCCACGAGAGCTGCCGGAGGAGCGGCTTCAGCAGAGGCCCCTCGGCCTGGTCTCTCCATGGAGAGTCCCCGGCTGCTCCCTGCAGGGTTGAGGCCCAGAGACTCGCTGGCCAGTGGGGGTGCTGGGGGGCTGTGGGCGGGGTCCGAGGGGTGTGGCGGCCCTGGCTCTCCAGAGCTGTCGGCCGTTCAGAAGCTGGTGTCAGCTTGGGAGCAGGAGGGACGGCCCTCCAGCTGACTTGCACCCTGGGGCTGATGGCCGGGGTCAGGCTGACCCTGAGCCTCACAGTCGCGCTGGTTTGCAGGGCACTGCTGTGACTACCCCTGGTCGGTCACTGCCCAGGGGGCTTGCTTGCTTCTGCGTCCTCCTGTTAGGACACATTTGAGACTTGAGCCGAGCTGGGACCTGTGTCCTCTCAGTATCACCCGGGCCTGCTCCCCGGGCTCCCTGAGCCTGAGTTCCCAGGCCTGTGCCTGTGTTGACTTTTGCTTCATGACCGTTAGTCAAGGGCTCAGACCCAGGCTGCAGTGAACTCACAGACCTCACTGGGGAGCGATGCAAATCGTTTCTTTCCAGCGGGAAGGGAAACCCGAGGGCTTCTTGCCCTCCGACATCGGCCAGCTCTGTCCTGGGGGGCTGGTCCTCTCTCACCCCAGCTGGGTCTGTCAGTAAGCAGGTCGAAGGTGTGTGTGACTCCCCTTCTGCGGTGATGAGTCATGTTCTTGGCTTTTTGAAAATTACACCCTGATGCTGACTTAG